GGCCAACTAAATATTAAATATTTATAATCAAATATAATTTTTATTGATCGACCGGATACTTTTGATAGGGTAGTGTATGTCAGAATGCTGAACCTACAGCTAAAGACTTTCACTTCGTAAATGTTCTCAGTGAATCAATGTCTGAATACTACAAGAACGAGACTGCACGAGCGCAAAAATTTCGAGAGTGTTTTAAGAATTATTTTGATATCAATTTCCCTTGTATTGAATTCAACGATGGATCATGCACAGATGGTACCTGGTTCCCTAATCCCAACGCCAGTTATATTATGAATGCTAAAGTAAAAAAAGAACCCGGCACTGGAGGCAACCCACACATACAAAATATAGCATATTACAAACAATATTTTCTCCAAAACCAGGATCTTGCTGAAACGTTTAGGCTGCCTTGCTTCCTTATTCAGGTTGATAGACTGGAGTTAAATATTCCCACTGCCATTTATGCTAATAAGATTATTGTAGATTCGTACGACTACATCCTTTCTCTTGCCTGTTCACGCAGTCGTTTCGAGAAATTCGCTCGTATTTTCTGCGCCCTTAAGACAGCTATCGTATTACTGCAAAAATACTATGATAATCCCATGCCAGAAAGCCATGCAAGTCAGAGAGAATTCCCTTATCCCAACTCTGTTAAGATGGACGATGGCGAGGAAATCCGATTTGAATATCATTCTGCTTTGGGTCCACTAGTTTTTGTTGTCGATACACTTGAAAATTCACAGAATCTCCCTCAAAAATTTGTCGTTAAGTTACACAACGTTACCTTATTCTTCTCCACAAACATTGCGCAAAACTACATATTGCTCCTGAGATTTATGGACATATGCATTTACCTGGCAATTGGTACATGATCGTCATGGAATATATGAGTGACTTTGGCTGAATGTATGCCGAACAGACTTATCATGATACGATAAAGAGTGCAATGGATCAGTTACATTCTGCTGGATACGTGCATGGTGATCTCCGCAGCAATAACATTATGGTCCGTTATCTAAACACAACATCTTTGCCGGCTGTTTGTTTTGTTGACTGGGACTGGGCTGGTGAACATGAACAAGTCAAATATCCCATATCAATTAATCCTGCCATCATTCGTCATGAGAGTGCTCGACCTCAAGGACCAATTCTAATAGAACATGACCAATTTATGGTCTCACGATTGGTCTTTAAAGACAGTGTTTGTGTTAAACGTTAAACCCGAACACTTTCAAATAGCATAATTAATTATGGAAGCATTTTAGTTTTTGTATCACTTCAGCTAGTAATTCAAAAGTTAGAAGAATTTGACAACTTCAAATAATCCGGAAATACTTTTTATTAGCAATAGTATTCATGGAAATGTCTGTATGACGAGATCATCCATTCACTTGGGAATTAAACTATAGTCTTAAATAATTTGCACAACACGATTGTCTGTTGATGCTTAAAGGAATATCTTTGTATTGAAAGAGTTAAAGGTTAAAAATGCATCGAAGGTCAATGTCTCTTCAAACTATATTCAGAGCTGTAATGTTATTTGATCCGACTTGGTCGACTTTTGTGATACCTTTTATGAATTCCCGCTGTTTGATATGTTGCTGATAGCACACGCTTTAGACTATGATAATGGAGTACGGTCGTACCTTCATAGTCACGTGAGATAATACAAAGTTCTCATTGGTGAAACTAACCGTTGATTGGACGGATTGTAGCGTGGAACAACTCACTTTATTAGTTTAATTTGAATACTCAACATTCCCATCAGTAGTCGATCTCATTCCACGTGGCTATTTTTTGTTGATTAACACGGCTCCAAGCGGGACATGGCGTATACGCATCTAGCGACGCCAACCTGAAGATAACTACTAGTATGAAGATCAGTTTACAGTGAGGCGAGGTTGACTAAAACAGATGTCGTTGATATGTAGTCGAGCTTTATTTTCACATTCTTGTATTGAAAAACGAATAATTTTAAGATAGAAAACAAAAGTTCCTAAACACGGAACAGTGGATCCAGCCACTAATAAGTACAACTCACTACCAAAATATAAACAAGTGGGAAAAAAAATTCAAGTCAAAACTATTTAAAAGAAATAACGACAAAACTAATCAAAATGTCATTTTCCTCCCGCTCCTTTCTCTAAACACCCAACAATCACCACCGTTGCATAATCTCCCCATGCGGACTCCCGGATACATTCCCATCAATGTTCTGTAATGAGCTTAGAAAATCACCCATAATTTCCGAACTTGGCGGAGATAAATCAAGCGCGGGTTTTATGGTTTTGCTAGTCGGTGGCGATCTAGGAATCACTGCAATTATTTCCGGAACATGGACAGAATTCCTGTGATATGTCCTTTGCGCCGTTGTTGAACTTCGAGATGGAGAACGAATAACAGGAAGAGGTGCTATGGCAGGCTCCATTGGAAGGGAAGACGATATCGTAGTAGATTTCGGTATAGCATTGTCATTAGCAACTGTGTCGCTCAGCGATGTGCGATCACTGTCGATGCTTCTCCGACCGGTAGATGGCCGGGAATGAACGATGAGAATCTGTGGCTTAATAACAAGGCCAGGCGTCACCGATGCTCGTCGTGTTCGCCGACTAAGAACGGGATGCCCTTCTTCTGGAGTACTAGATAATGGGCTATTCGCAAGACTATAATCCAACCCAAGGTCTTCACTTTGTGATAGCGATCGATTGAGTGCTTGTCCAGGAGTATGTACATTTGGCGTTGTCGAGCCAACTTTGTGATTTTGTTGTGTCGAACTCGACACTGAATTTACCGATCGCGCCGGTGATCTGTCACGTGAAGTACTTGGAAGTCCTGAGGTCAATGATGATGATCGTGAATGTGGATTCTGAGTATATACTCCATGTGTTGATACGGGTGTGGGTGGCGTTGAAAGCGAGGTTGATCGACTTCGCGCTCTGTTTGAGTTGGACGGTTTAAACGATGAATGGGAAGACGCTAAAGAAGATATTGAAGATGCTATTGAGACGGCATCATGTAGAGACAGTGGATCAGATTTGAGAAATTCTGTTGACGCTCGAAGAGTTGTCAACGCAAAGCTAGAGTATTTAAATTTGTATTAGCATATATAGTAAATAAGAGATAGATCGGATCATGTCGTAATTATTAATCATGCCCACCTCAATTCTGATCGTTCGACTTTCGACAATCTAAATGTTTGCATATAAAAAAGAACACTTCCAAGCTTTCGAATTCTAGTATTAACAATAACATATGCCATCAATGGAATAAAATCATCCGTAGTAATGGATGATCTCTCTGCACCCTCGTCAAAGCTCAATCCGCTTGTCAACTGATTTAAGAAAGTATCGGCTACATTGGCAACCTCTTGAATTGCCTTTTTGGCGCAGATAAGTTTTTCCAATGGTGTCTTTGCAGGGACGAGTTTAGACCGTGGCTCAGCGCTGATGCCTAATCCATATTGAAGGCCATCTTCACGATTATCGTCTTCATCCAGACAACTAAGGATTTCACAAGCGGTATTGAGCGATTCTTCGGGCATATTTTGCAGACGATTGCATATGCCATAGTCTTTGAGAGTGAGACGAGCGCGGAAGTAGGCATGCATTATTGATTCGAGGTAACTATCGTGAGAATTGTATATGGGACAGAGAGCATCGGTGAAAATCTTCTGGTGGAGTTCAGCCATTATCACACTAGAAATCAACAGTTTAGACGCACAGAGAGAGAAAGGGAGAGAGAGGGGGGGGATGAGTATGTGTATGGATGGTGCTAATTGCAAGCCCAAGCCTACACGACGTGTACTTACTTTTCCAATAGTTCCAGAAATTGATCGAGCTCATGTTGCAAGCGACAAACGCTTGCGAGTGTTTGGTTGGCTTTGAGGAATGCCTGCGTTTAATTTAATAATGGATAAAGAATTAGCTTATAATCTAATTTTAGTCGCGAGCATATATATTTTTTAGCATACCGTTACTGCCTTATTGAGGATCTGCATTATTCGATCAACAGCATAATAAGAATATCCACGAACGTATACATAAGTCTCGTTAAATTCAGTCACCATATGTGCTAATTCCCCGATCGCATTCTCGTTCTCGGGAAAACTCTGTAAGAATAGTAGATCGGTCTCGTGATTCCTTTCTGAAGGTATAGTGGGCGATGTGCTCTCTGTTGCCATGCCTTCGCCTTCGAGCGGCCTTTCAATGATCAGGACTTGGATTGACTTGTAAGACTCGTTATAGACTAATTCCTCGCCCATGATACGGATTGTCCGATGTTCCTTGAACCCTTTACGGAATAGAAGGTAACAAGAGAAGAAGAAAAAAATTAATAGAGCTACTTAATTAACTGTATTCGCAGTATAAATTATCTTAGCATTTATTAGCGTAACATACCTGATATTGATTTAATGACATTCCTTTCGATGCTCACTATTTTCCCATTGATACTGTGATATTGACCAGTAAAGTATGGTGACGGAGTCAAGGAATGTGTTTCTATCCATTACACGTTTTCAGATTTAAAATTAAAGAAGAAAAGAAGCAGAAAAAAAGATGACGATCGAAACCAAGGGGTTAATTAATGGTGATCATCTAAATTGTCACTTCCGATCGGCGAAACATGCAATGTGGGTAGATCGCTGCCCTTGCATTGCGAACATTCAGTCCGTTCTTAACTGAAATTCGAATTATCATATCCCACGTGCAACTTTTTATCTAATCAGCATACGATCCCTAATATAAGAAAGATTTGAACCAAAGGAACGACAACCAACCGATGAATGACCTTGACATTTTCAGTCCGACAATACTTCTCGAATGCGGCACACATATTACAGCCACTCGATGGAATATCTTCGGATAGTCTTTTCTCAATATTGTATAGAAAATGTTCTCGTCGAGATCGTCGTCATCTTTTGCTTCGCTTAGTGATTGATTTGAAGAGTTGGGAGAAGAGTAGAAAAACTTTTGGGAAGAATTGTCGGCGAAATTTGGAAATGTAAGAGATGCGGAAGTGGTAGGAGATGTAGAGAATTGGGAGGGAAAACGACGAGGCGTTAGTAATTGGGGAGAAGTGTTTGATGAGTTGTGATTTGAGTTTGTTTTTGAGCGAAGTTTTTTAGGAGATACAAAGAATTTCGAAAGTTTCATAGTTTAGGTGGATTAGAAATGAAGAGGGGAGGATTTTGAGTTGGTATTATGGAAGGTATATGAGTTGTAAGTTTTGAGAATGTGAAATGTCACTTTTACTTGTGAAATATTGTTATTGCGTTAAGTGAATTGACAGGTTGAATGTCGTTGTTGCAATTGTCCTTGTTATCGCAATCAAAATGCTATATATATTTTTTCCCCTCGCTATCTCTAGTGTCAAATGTATATAATATATATGTATATATTACAAAAGAAATAGTTACACTAAATTACAAACGATTATCAAAAGAAAGAAGTGTTTCTCGACGGAAGACGAGGGAATATATAAGAAATGGTAGACAGATATTAGCAGAATGCAATCAGGTAGTCATTGATGAATAAGAGGAAAGCTGGACGAATAAAAGGTATCTTTAAGACCAAATAAATACTGGGGCTGAGTCACTGCAGCTAACGTGGTAAGGGCGTAAATGCCGTAGTTGCAGACAGGTAATGAAATATGCCAATAGTTAGAGGGGAGAAAGGGACGAAACCTAATCAGTTTAGCTATTCAGAATCAGTTTAGCTAGCTATTCAACAACACAACCCTCGTTATATAAGAATGTCAATAATTGTCTTGCCCTTTTTTAATAATCTAGAAGAGAGTAGAAAAAATGAAATAGTGTTTTTTTTTTATTTAAAGAAATGGATATGAAATATACATGAGAGCTTGACACAATAATATGGAAGGGGAAAGCGAAAGAGAAATAAAAAATTGAAAGTTAATAAAAATTTGGTAAATTAATGGAGGTGGGGAAGTTAAATATAGTTTTCCCCTGAGGTTTGGGCGTTCAAAAATTTTGATAGAAAAGACGGAGACGCAGAGTATTAAGAATTCAGGGGGAGGGGAAGAGGAATATGGAAGGACATGTGATTGGACGAAGAATGTGGGAATAACTGCGGAATATAATATCGTTAGAGCCGAACAGGATTAAGGTTCCTTCTTTGGATATAGAGTTGATGATGGATGACAAAGCAAAACAGTGGGGAGAGAAGCTAATGAGAATGATCGAAGAAATCTTAAATGGAAAGAGGCGGTCATATAATTAGAACCGGCATATATAAATAGTATAAGAGAACGCGCGTAGTTACGTGAAATTGACAATACCGTCGAATGGGTCCTATTTTGAAAGTTGTGTCTAGGTGGATTATATTTACACAAGAGTAAGTAATGATTATACAGTAGTACACTTGTGCTGCTTATCTAAACGATGCACCAAAACATAATATTATATTTATACATACAATTAACAATGAATACAACAATATACTACGTAGCTGATACTGATACACTAACATACGTGATTAATAAATATACTGTACGTAGAATAGTCTATTCTTCATTTTTCATAACATCGTCCAATAGCATGTTGTATTAATTGTGTTATTTAGCTGTGTCTCATGTGTTACTCTATGTCGTATTCATCCCTTATTTATTGCACTTGCGAAATCCACCCACAATTAAGCTATTTCACAACACTACAAAAACAATGGATGTACCTCCCCACATTCTTCTCGTTCAATGCATCAAATATGTCTGACATCATTTGTTTGACCAATACCTTTATACTCCAATTTAACTCCAATGGGCAAATTGTTCTACATCTACACATCTGATCGACACTTGTACTTAATGTTCAATACGTCAACTCTGCTTGCAGACTTCACACAATAGCTGGTCTCGTAATATCAGTAATAGGAAGCGCCTTAATTTTTGAATAGTCAACCATCGCGTCTCTTTCTGTATCCATTTCTGCAACCACGCAGCTGCAGTGTATCCGCAAGAATGTCATCAGTTGCATACCAGCCAAAAAAAAAAAAAAAGAAAAAAAAAGTATTATCTGTCAGGTATGGATAATATTCATACTCACATATTGTCGCCTCTTATTATGTACAGCCCGAGCTGTACTTGCTCTACGCCATCTGTTTCGGAAAATATACGCTCATGACATGAAGCAATAATCAGATTCCACGTCTGATCAAATCCCTTTAACGTTCCCTATCAATAAAATCATCATTCCCACTTCAGCCACATGCACACTATCTCAAATCAACAATGTTACTCACTGTTCTAATCCCATTGTCCCCTTTCTCCCCTCCTTCCTTCACTCACCACTATTACTCGTCCGTCAACTGTAATAATCTCAACTGTCACTATCACATACAAATACGCCAACTCACAGGAATCAAGGAATATGCGCTTATTCAGAACACAACCAATTATGTCATTCATTCCTTGCCCCAACCAATCAGAAGTCATAATATAAATTAACTTGATTACACAACTTATCTAACGTATCAATACTTAACCAACAGCCGAGATCAATGGCAATAGAATTAATACATTAGATAAGCAACTCAACAAAGAAAAGTTAAATGCGATTATATGAAAGCATCCAAATAATGTATAATGTAAAGAGTATTATAAAGAGAAACATGCAACCTGTTAAAATAAATCCCCCACCCCCTCGGAAATAAAGAGCCAACTGCTAACAAGTAAGCTCACAATCAAACAATTGTAGCAACTGAATGGTGTAATTGTCAATGACGTAAGGAACGGGGAAAAAAGGATACGATCAACGTATTTTTGCAGTTCTGCCATCTGGTAAAAGGAAATCGCGTGCTATTTGATGAGCTTGAAAGAGAAATCTATACAAAGGCAGTAAGAATAGTAATATATAGATTAAAATCATGTCAATAGAGTAGCATGAATGTGTACATGCATGCAGTTACCCGCCCACGAGATTGTCACTGCTCCTCTTCCCCCAATTTGTGAGTTATTCTGATGTTGAAAAGAGATAAGCTGGATATCTAATAATATATCATATAGCATCATACAACATATCATGAATATACTGTTATTATTACTATTCAATAGGTCCAATCTTATTTCACTCTTTTCCTCGTCTTTTCACTCTCTTGCGTACCCAATATCTCCACTATTGATATTTCAAGGTAAGGTAAAGGTCGCAGCTGTATTCAATCAATCTTTGCACCTTATATTCAGATCGATGACATCATCTGAATATCACAGGCTATGTCACACCTTCCATTTGCCAATCACTTTACCCGCTTGCTTTGATTCACCGTCTTTGGGAGTTTGCCTTTCAATCTCTCCAAGACTGCAAAGGATTAGTTGATCTAGCGATTGTTCTTAAAAACTCCATCATACCGGAAAATGTGATATAATAACGCCCTTCAATCGCCACAAATTGTACAAATTGTATACGGGCATACATTATTTCCAGATTTGCTCACTACTAAGATCCGTACTTGTAATCGTTAGACGATAAGCATAACCATGGTCATAGTCTATGAGCTTTTGGTCTGCATTTCGCTACTTTGATCAAAATATTCATAAGCATAGTTCTGTTATGTAAAGGCATCAGAGTGATTAATGATTGCGTGAATCCAAACATTAACTTTTTCAATTTTATTATTACTGCTTTCGTTCTTTACATCTTTCTTTTTGAATACTATCTTTGCTGTCGCAGTAATTCTGTATCTTGCATAATCTATTTTTTAAAAAGAATGCTAGAAGACCTGAAGGGTTCTATGTGTCGACTGCTCACTTGAACGAAAAACGTGAAATTTATATAAAAATTCGTTATATATAAAGTCCGTTTTAAGAAAATCAATGGAAAACGGAGCACTTCGTTAAAGCGGACTTTACTGTATACACTTTCCATTCTGTCTCAGTTTTTTTAGGCCTGGGCTCTGGTCAGCAAAAAAAATCCGGTAACCTTGCTTTAAATGCAACGGGTTGTATCTACTACTGTCAATCTTCCCCTCTAGTCTTACTAGAGGATCCACGTAAATACCCACCACCGTAGTCAATATCATATCATTCTTTCAGAAACCTCCACACGCGAACTTTGTCATCACTTTCCAATCGCCATTCTCAGTGCTCTCGGCCGGATCTTTTTGTTTTTCGCAGAAATAAAAGCGGTTTGCGAGCCGCAACTCGGCTATTACAGCCTGATTCATACAAAGCAGTTCCAGTTGATTGGATTTCAAGATGTCGTTTGTCTCTGCCTGTCAATTTTGGCGGTCTTCCACTGCGTGTCGCAGAAGTCGCCTTATTATTTTTACGATGTCTTGCTATAGTACTGTATATCCTGGACTGCCGACTTTGGATAGCCAGTTTTCTTTTCAATCTCGCGTTCTGAATGAACAAAGAGCCACCCTCCAATAATAAGACCGCGTTCAGACTCACCGAGCTCTTGTCCTTCGGACATTTTGCGATAGAAAGTTTGTCTGTGACTGAAGCGCCGTTATTTCGTTAGTGTTGGTACTCGTGATTTCGGAGCATACTGATAACGAACTAATATTAAAGGCGTAAATAAACGAATCTAATTAAAATTTTATTTCTCGTCAATAAAGCAAAATACCGATTAAATTTGTGGACAATAGCGGTTGTTTTGCTTTCGAATTATATAAGTAGGGTGCAGTTTATACTTGTAATAATTTTTGACATTTTTAGGTCGCGTAACCCCCGAATTATAACTTTTTTAAATTTTCTAGACATCGCAGCCATAAGGTGCGCTAACTTTAATATTAACCTCACCCATTATGTGCATTTCTTCTCCAACAGGACAATGCAGAGAATATATACGTTTGTTACAAATATCGAGAGATTGTTGAAGTCAAGAAAACAAGCTCAAACTAACGCGTACACATTTATTACTATTATGTGTAACGGTTTCTGATTTTCTATTAAATTTAGTAGACCATCACCCAATCGCATTGCCTCGTTGAGAATTCTTGATCCCTTAGTATTAATTGAGATTTGACAGTTTCCGGCAGGATGCCCGTACTAATTTCTCCTGCTGAACGTGAGTACATTATTAATGGCGTTGATCACAACATACGCGCAGACGGAAGAGGTCGTCTCGATTACAGACAGATAGTCATTGAAACCGGACTCATCCCTCAGGCTAGTGGTAGTGCAAGGTGTCGGTTGGGAGAGGGAACAGACGTGTTGGTAGGAGTAAACGTCGAGGTAGGACAAGTCGATATGGAAGGAGACGATGAGGTTATTCGTGAGCGGAAATCTAAGCGTGGTAGAGTAATATGTAATGTCGAATGGTGAGTTTACGATGAAATTGTATAATCGCGGATATTCAATCTATAATTTATTTAATCGTTATCATATTCAATAAATAGCTCACCCATCGCATCACAACAATTCGCCGGTCGTGGTGCCGAAGACTTTAACAATGAATTAACGCAGACACTGGATCGTGTGCTAAATGGTCCTCAAGGCGGGTTAAATCTCGAAAAACTTTGCATTATCCCAGGCGCCGAATGCTGGGTTGTCAACATCGATGCGTTGGTAAATCACAAAATCTGTGCTGCACTATTCTTTCTAGCATTTTGTAACTAAATTAAGAGCAGATATTAGATTATGCGGGAAACCTTCTTGATATGGTATTCATTACAACCCGTGCTGCACTACACAATACCAAAGTACCAAAGACAATCATAACTAAAACAGAAGATGGACTGGAGTTTGATTTTTCGGACGATATGGAAGATGCAGAACGAATTGAAGGGTGGGAAAATGTTCCAATTGCCGTAACGCTAAGCAAGGTAAGAAGTTTGTTGAGTATTACATTGCGTGCGCATAACGCAAGACATGTAGAAGGTAACAAGCCCTGATAAAAATAAAGATTGGGTCTCGCCACATAGTCGACGCTACACCATTGGAGGAGCTAACAGTAGACGCAAGATTGCTGGTAGCCGTCAATAAGAATGGGAAAATATGTGGAGTGCAGAAAGGTGGAAGTGGTAGCATTGAACCGAGTCTGTTGAATGAAATGATCCAGGTAATATTCTTTCGAAATTGTTCGGACGAGATGTGAGGAGCAACAATCACAACAAGATTGTTAACATGTTTATGTAGACTGGAGGCACGATAGGCCAACACGTTATTCAGAAATTGGATGAGCAGCTTGAACGTGAAGAAAAAGAAACATCAAAGAAAATTGTAAGAAACGAATCTGTCGGAAAGCTAGGCTTTTTCGCAGCAATATAAGTTTATTCTTTGCCGGCTTTTAATAGCCGCCCACAATGATTGGAAGTATTTGAATGGTAGTCTTATATAAACCAGATTGATTGCCGATATCCAAGAATAAAAACAAATAGTGTATTACTTTGCGAATTTCTTTCAACGACTAATATGACAGTATGCGGACCAAATATAATGTTTATAATTTGATCCATTATGGAATCAGTTGGGGGATTGACAGCTGAGGAGCTAGAAAATTTTAATCTATTGCAAGAGAAATTCACGCACTGTTCTGTCCATTGCTTTCAGTTATGACAAATCGAGCCTACGCATTTCACCCAAACTTGACACGTTTACTCTTTAAAGAATTACGTGTTGTTAAGGGACATTGTTCTCTTTGGAAACCACCATATTAATTTAACTACTCTCGATAGAAGTTAACCGACTAATAAATACAAATTCAAAGCAATTCCATGATCGAACGCTTTATCCAATTGATCAAAGTCAACGTGCGGCCAATGTTGATCAATCAATTTAAACTTCACAGTTCCGGGCAATGGTACAGTTGATGGAGTAACCACAAGTGTCCTGTATGAACACATATTAGTTCAGAAGACCATTACATTGACAGTAAAAAAAAAAAGTAACATACCTTTTATAAAATGAGACGGAGCTATTACTTGAATCAGTAGCAACTCGTCTAAACAAAACTTGATTTGGTAGCATGGTGTTAGCAACGGTCACATCGACGACTACATGTTTCGCCAAAGTATTATCAAAGTCTTCCGGAGATGATCCGAGCAGATCATGAACATTGACTTGAATGTTTGAATCTGAAGTGATTGATGGAAAACAGTATAAATTATGCGTCAAACAATGAATCCACCAGCCAAGCAAAACATTTTATATTTACCTCTCCAGGCAGCTGGATAACCTAGTAAATGTCTTGGAGGCATATATGTTTTGTAAAATATTATATTTGTCTCATAGATTTCTGATGGGTGTTCGTAAACTACACAATCAATGCTATTTTTTTTAGTTTTTGTGTAGGGTTTTGTTGCTATGCCGCTAAGTAACTCACCAGGAGATATAAACTTATTATCAAGCTGGCAAATGGTATGATCTCCTCCGTTTCTTAAATGGCAGCTGTGGAATTTCATGCTTTGGTTCTGTAATTTGGCCATCATTGGAATTACTCCGGCCTGGTGAACAACTCCATAGACCATGATCATTGCTATATTAAATAATATCCACGAAACCTATAAAAAGACAGCAGAATATTAACTAAACCAACTGACAATACATACCCTCTTGGGAAATTAGTAACAATTCAAAACTCACCCAAAATTTCTTAGTAAGTGATTGAAAAGAATTTGCAGAGCAAAGGACTAGTATTATCAACATTGGTAGCAGAAATCTTGCCTCTTGATGTGGTATGATTGAAAGAAAGCCGAATCCGCTTAACCCACTCGCAACCAGCACTAATTATAATCCTTAAATCAGTATCTTTGAGACAATAATACAGTTTGTTTCCCTGATTAATTACCAATGTTGTATTTGTTCCATGATTCAATCTGCCAATTCTTGATGGTTTTGAAGAGATTAATAATGTCAAGCAATGCAAGTGGTCCAAAAAGAATCAGTAAGTTTACTATATGAAGGTATCGTGGATGCAGCCCATGCTTGGCAAGATTATTTGGGTCCATGTTGTACAGTATGTTATTTAATGGGGCAATTATGGGGCTTCCCTAGAAGAAGGTTTGAACTGAAATTAGCAAATGCCATTTTAGAAATACTTACATAGTAATATCATTGAACATCCTACCTTCATTTCTATATTCCAATCCATACGTATCTCAAGTTTCACTATCAAATCCCATAAAATTCTACCAAGGTTTATCAGCTTTTTGTCTCTTTTAAATACTATTACACCAAAATATATATTGTCAACCAAAAGACAAAAAGCTGCAGTCATAACCATTCCCACGATGATAGGTTTAATTCTATACGTGAAGGCATCCAACATGCCTTTGTCAGATGTAATGGAGGACCACAGAATCATAACGCCCACAGGGAGTATATATAAGATAAATGTGATTCTGGTAAAAACACCCAACATGAAGAGACATCCAAGTTTGAAAAATGACTTCCTTGACAGATAGGAGAATAAGTTAGAGGCTTGTATAAAATAGTTGCAGTAGAGGGCAATCAACATCAAAGTTATTTTTACAAAGTAATTACCGTTCGAAAGTCTATACCTGCCAAACTTTTCAACCTGCCTGTAACTGTCGTGTCATTTTTGGGTGCGACATCATTATTATTACTTCTCGCATCCCACAGTTGATTGCCCTCAATCACATAATAAAAGCACAGGGATAAGATTAAGCTTTCTATTGTGTTTGAGAACGAATGTGTGTGAAATATCAAAGTCGTGTATGCCGAGGCGAGTATTACAAGTGTAAGGGCGGCATTGCGTTGGGAATATTTCAGTAAAGACATCGACTTGTATAATACAAAATCTGCGTTGCGAAAAAGTAATAATGGCAGTATGTGAGTGACACGTTTCTATTTGGTTATAGAAAAGACTAGTAATACATACCCAAGATGAAAGAAAGAAACAGAAAGGTTATGCGTATCGTCAAAAATAACATTCTGGATGTAATCTCTAGAAGAAAGTAAAGGCGAACGTTAGAAAATCCCGCTCGTTATCCTATGTAATCAAATTTTTTGCCAATATCACCTATTCCCAATATTGTCGTGAATCCTTTCAAAATTAGGAACGGAAACCCAACTGTTAACGCTCTATAAACAGTATTCGTCTGAAACAATTAATTGAATCGACTCTTTCAAGGACATTACAAATCAAAAAGGAACATGTTTACTTACGGAGGCACAATACTCCTAGAAGGGAGCCGTGGATCAAACTCCCAAGGAATGAAAACCTCGAGGTTAAATACATCTCCTGTTTTGCAGACATACGTTGGTTTAATAAATAATGATAGCTTTTCTCACAATTAGAATAAACGTCTTCCCTACCTGCTAATACTTCTGGACCCTGAAAAAATTCGTCAGGATGGATATAACCTGGTAATAGAGCACATAAGAACCTAATCACGCAAAGAGACAAGTATAACATTGCATTATGTGAATGTACTGGAAATTCTTTTTTGGCGATCCAATCAATCACATGGTAACTATTCACTCCAGTCCCGAGAGATTTCCGAATTTGTAAATGCAAGCCTTCCTCACAATCTGATTACTGTACAATAATTTTAGCATAGAGAATTTGATGACGCTTTACCGATCAAATAACCGCAAATTATTAAATCAAAGAGTGGCATTATTCTTATTTTGTCCACCTGCGTTATCACAAGTAATCTTTAGATATTTTTCACCTGTATTCAATCTCTTAATTCCATCGCATACCATGTCAGCGTACCATTCGGACCTTTGCCGATAATTTCGTCTTCATCGAGAACGTAATCAATTTGTTCGCGTTCTGCCTGTTCTGCCTGTTCTGCCTGTTCTGCCTGCTCTGCCTGTTCTGCCTGTTCTGCCTGTTCTGCCTGTTCTGCCTGTTCTGCCTGTTCTGCCTGTTCTGCCTGTTCTGCCTCGTCTTGAATACCAAATAAATGTACTTTACTATTACGTGGACTAAGATAATAAATTTTACTTACCTGTTGGTCGGAATGGGTACGTGAACATTTTGTGCTCAATCGTAACTATAACGAGCAACTTCTTGTTATAAAATGCTCATCTACTAATTTTCAATTTCGTATTTTGTTGTAATAATTTCTCTCAAACTTGGCCTTAACTAGATATTTTTTCAGTAAATATTTTGCTTCTTCTTCCTTACGAGTATTGTAAGCTATTCCGAAACCGTTGACACGTATCACATAAATCCGTTCTTGGACTCATGGTTTGAATGTAAGGCGTTAGTTGGTGTCATAACTTGCGGAATGCGTCATATGTGCTACTGTCTTCAAGACCAGCGATAAAATCGCGATAGACCGATTTATAACTCGTTTCAGCTGGCAATACAGCAATAGTGTAAGCGTTTGAGTAATGCGATTGACATTTCTACCAGGACTTGGTAGTCCATGAATTTCAGCATAATTTTCGAGAAAATTCTTCAATGGTTATATCAATGGTTATTTTGGTTTTCCATCGCGGCACTCGTTTGATATTACCATGAACACGCGGTATTATACCATTCGTCGCTAGGTCTTATTAGTGCGCGTCTTCTTTTTAAGACGTCGGCTGGCAGTTATTTCTCCATCATTCATTGCTTTCAACTGGGCCATTAAAAATATATCTAGAAAGAGCCTGAAACGCTTCAAAACAAAATTAAAATTAATTCACTTTATGAATCAGTTAAAAAGCCAATAAAATTTAAAAATCGTTTGTGTTTGGGATGAATATGAAGTACTACAACCACTTTAGGTCCTTAACTGCTGAAATATTACTAGATAAAACAAATTGATGATAATAATAACAAGCCATATTCGTAGAAATTTACGAGGCAGGTGCGAATTTTGTTGAAATTAAATATTTCTACTAACTCCGCATTTTAGCAGATAAGCTTTTATTATTTATACGCCTTACAGGGATCATGCATAATAACTAATTCAGCACAAGTTTGTCCTTCACTAATTGCCATAAATGGTTAAACCCGTGTAATCGCATTGTTATGCACGTTTATCCATTATATACAAAGCAGATTAGCTTTTGGGTCCTGTCAACAAGAACCTATCAAGAAAGAAGCCAAAAGTGACTAGGTGATGCATATGACCCATATATAGATACTTTAGTCAGACAAATCATACCATTTGCTTCGACAATCCACGGCTTCTTTCCTAACCACACGCTTCTGGTCATCCAACGCTTCTGCCAGAACTCTAATCACTTGAGTCTTGTATGGAAACAGTACATCAAACTTGATTGTATCTGGAAGAATACTCAAACATTTTAATGCCGATATTCGAACAGACTATGAGGCAAAACGGGTGAATTAGTCCATATAATCACTGACATATTTTTGTTCGACGATATTAAAACTCACCATTGTGTTATGCTCGGACTTTGAAGTGAGAGAGAGGAACAGCTTGATAAGTGTAGATACATGCTCGACTATTATGTCTGGCGCATCAATGGCAATAATATAAAACGTGTCGAGTGTTGATGTACGAAGAGACGAATCGGGGAGAGAGAGTGAATGTATGAGTAGAGGTGTGATCTAGGATGAATTGTTGATAATAACGTTGTAAAAGTAAGCTGTGTGTCAGAAACTGGTTGCAATAATTTGAGTATATACTCATGCATCACTAGTAATGAACTATTTTTAAACTTACTTGTGAAAGAAATCCAAGCGTCACTTCTTTTGGAACATTAATAAGTAATTGAGACAGAGCGATCAAGTAATGATGCTTCACTTCTACAATCAGAAATCCAGTAAGTGTCAATTCAACATGCAAATTAGCTTTGAACCACTTACCATCTGCAGAGGATTTGAATCCTTCCACTAGTTGGGGCAGGCAATGATTGAAGAATCTCTGTTTATATAACACCTACACATATAACAAGATAATATCGTGCTTTAATATAAATTGAGCTTAATTTAATTCTAACAATCAAATATTAAATTACATTAATGATAGCAAAATTCTGTTTGTTAAGTAAATCGTCATCGCCAATGATTATTCCAAATCCCTTAGATGCGTCCTCAGCCAATACATTGTCACTAAATTGTCGGATGACATGACCAGTGCAAGTGAATCCAGCAGTGTGGGCACGAATAACGAGCGCTTTTGTGAACTTTAAAAACGATACGGAATGAAATTAGTCTTTCGGTCACCAACTACGTGTGCATTGTTGGCATGATAGTCCCCGAATTGATAGTTCATACCCAGAGAAAGAGAGAAAACGCAACGCATCGATTGCGCTCATTTTGATCCGACTCGGAGCTTCTTAGTAGCTCTCCCAGTATCTTTGATTCAATAAATTTCTCCAATTCGTTATCTGTTTGACAAATCGAGTCGAATAAATAAGATTCCTGTTTAATAGTGTAGGTTATCAATAAACCTTCTTACCTTCACGAAGTTTGTTCAAAATAGAGGCTGCGAGCTTAGTCAGTGACCTCCTATGTATATCATTCTGAGTTGATATAGAAATGTCAACAACTGTGGAAAGGAAATCGGATATATTTGGTAACGGCAGTGTGACCTATAAATCCAATTTATTAGCTTAACAAATCATAATGACGGTGAGGATACACAATATTACGCGAGATTCCTATACCTGCTGGCGAATTGACCCAACAGCAACGGTAAACAATAAAGCGAGATTCTGTTGAGGTACATCAGAATTGACCTATTTAAGAGAGCCATAGTCAGTCGATGCCGCATCCAATTGAAATAGAATCAACGCACTCAACTTACTGAGATTGGAGCAAACACAATGTCTTTATTTATTTTGGTTCCTTCGCCGAATGGGAGCAACGATATGTTTCCTTGTATAAATACTTCAAACATCTTCTCAATGAATTCGGTTTGCGTACTATCAGACAAGCAGACCATTAGCCATTATGTTTTAAATGACGTGCGTACGGAACATCAAGTTTGTTAATATACCTAACATCCAATGTACGTATAATGATACCTATTATCCTTGATATCTGCTCAATAATTCTCAATTCACCAAATATTGCAATTGCTTTGATATTTTCCTTGTTGAGCGTAGGCTCAACACATCTTGTCAACAAGTGAATTATTATTCCATCAACGTAACCTTGTATGTCTGTGTGATGCAACTTTGCCTTTGCTATGAGAGTATCATACATCGCCCTAAGTAATGCCAAGGGATACTCGACATCCTCCGTGGAAGAAGCTGTAATGACATTCAACAGTATGAAAACCGTTCGAGACAACTTCCGATTATGTTTATATTTCAAATTCTGCAAATTTAAATAGAATGCAAACTGACCAGCAATATAAACATCAAGATTCTTCATGGCCTCAAGTGCAAATGCCCCAAATAATAATGGCTCGACTGCCAGTTGAGAGAGAGCTTTGAGAGCGTTAATGTACGACTTTTTAGTAGTTCCAAGAACTGTACTTTCAGCATCTTCATAGTCTGTGGGTAATTGCGAAAGAAATACTGGAATACTATACGTCAGCAGTAACTGAGCCTTATAGTGAGATATGTTTGCCAACGATTTCAATGCTTCGGACCTACATAGCATCGTATAGTGAATATAAAACTGGAAGAGGGTAATAAATAGTCAAATGAGTGTAGAAAGCAACAAGCATACATCATGTCTTCGTCCGGATCGTTTAAAATCGTCTGGTTGAGTTCCTGAATTATAACGCCAATTTCGTTATCTTCCAGAAAATTTTCAAGTAAAACCAGTTCGCGTAAGCCCTTGAGACCCACAAGACGGAATTCGTTGTACTCATTTGAGGAAAGAAATGATGTTCTGAAAATACGGAGATAGTCTTCTTTAAATTCCTTGAGGGGATTTTTAATATCTTGCTCTAACAAAATTGCGGCCGTTAATTATAGATACTATACTACATTATTATGAAAGTAATTCGAGTAGAAACTTTGTACCGTTAAGTTCTCCTGGCTGATCAACAGAACCATAAAGAGCTTTGCTTGCTTCAATGTACTCCACCAATGCCTCTGCAATACCTTTCTTTTGTGTAGATAAATCACAAAGAGTAAATTGCTTTAAAAATCTCGGAACAGTCGATTCAATGATCATAGCGAATGCTGGATCTACAAAGAACGTATGAATAAACCCGTGTTAGCATCATATGATTATTACAAAAGCTTCTACTGCGAACAAACCAAACGTTAGTTACCGGAAGCCATAGCGCAATATTTAAGAATTCTTCCACTTGGCTTAGCCATCTTCAAGTCAGGTTCTTTGAGAAACTCCGTGCACTCAAACACGACTGGTGAAAGGAATTTCTCCAAGGGATTGGATTGATCAATAATTGAGGCTGAGAATGTGGACACGACACTTTTTAACGCTTCAAGTGCTTTATATTCAATGGCGTCATCAGTTGCATGAAATATCTACAATAGAATTAAAAGAACTGTTTAGAAATAAAGTTACATGTCTTACGGTTATATGGTGACAATGATACATACTTCAACTTTCAATCCCTCCCAGAGATCTTCTATGTACGGAGTCAACGATTCAGTCCCATAAACGGGTGAGCCTTGAGCAATAACTCCAATGGCATCTCTCTGCAAAAATTCTCATCTAAGAAAATATGTTCATAGTGTACTTATCTCTTTTAACTAAAATCATTAATCAGAATTGGTCGTTTACCTTTGCGTTGCCAGACGTTGATGTGAGCTTTTCTAACAACAGGGGCATTATATGTTTACCAAACAAAGGAGTACTAGTCAAGCATTCCCTATATAACAAGTATAAGTTTTGAGGATCAAACCATCATCGCCCGCCAACGGACTATAAAAAAGCGCATTTTTCAGTCACCCAAACTGTTAACCTTAATGCAGTTTTCAGATCATCAGCAGTAATACCATACGGATCATCGGGTGGTGGTTTGAACGTAATAGGGAAATAACAAAAAGTGACTTCAAACAGTTCCTTGATGTGAAAAGCTCGCTATAAGTAAAACTAATGCAACAAGCAGAACGACAGACATATTACGTATAATGTATCAAACCTCAACATGCTGTGAGATATCAAATTCACCTATAATCAATTTAACAAGTGAGAATGCCAATAACAGATTTCTCGGATCTTTTTCGCCATCCATAGTTTTAATAAACCCTGATACAAACTCAGATTCTATTTGTTTCAAGGCTTTTGATGTTTCACGAGCGTTAGCAATTTCGTTACAGTTTGATACCAGCCAAAAGCAATGGCATATTAACGTACCTTTCATGTGTATCTTCAATATACCATCAAAGATTTGGTATACGTAATGCCTTATTGCTTGCGGGTAATCTTGTACATTTATTTTGAATACACTGATACCCAATGAAACATTCATCAGTATGTTCCAGCATGTAAATAGATAAAGATAAAATGCGATCACCTACGCAAGTGATACGCTGACGGCATTGTCATTCGAGAAAGTGTCTAATTGTTGTAAAAATGCAAGGCCCCGTAACAATTCGGGCACGCTTGCAGTATCAGCTAGTCTTTCGCAATAAAAGTTGACAAGCACATTCACTGTTGACAAGTAATTAAATGAGATCTCCATCCGTAATATGCGATCCGAAATATAGTCTCACAACAAGACTTACTAGCAGCTCTATTCACCTGTCCACTAGGACATCCGGTTAATATCGTTGTCAAGAGACTAGTTGCTGATTTTTATACAGTTAGTCGAGTCAAAATTAAAGATAAATCCAATTATAAACTTGACAAACCTTTGGTTCTGGTGGAAGCATCTTCACTTGTAAGATATTCACCGAGATGTTGAACCAATGTTACCAGAGTTGACTGTCCATCACGAATTCCTAGTCAAAAATTTCGTATTCGCAAATAAATCCACAATATCCACTAATCTTGGTATTCAATCAAAAAATCGAATACAGATTCTTACTCTGGATTATAGAATTAACAATTTCTTTGGTTTCATCCGTTGAATCTTCTGTAGTTATCATATACGTGCGGATCAGTCTTGCATCCATCGTTGTCAATAATTAGGCAAGAGTAAGTATCTAACAAAAATGATTTTTTGTTGATGCGATAATAATAACGCCACAATACGTCAGTATTAACATTATTATGAGATTTGCCGATTATCGTTATCTGTAGACAGTGCCACATAGATATTTCAGGGCCAACGCCACACACTCAAATTTACTAATTTTGAAACGAAAACTCTTTAAATTATGTGGTAACATGAATACGCCACTTCAATTTTGGTACGTCACCTAATCAAACCGAGAAGTTGAAGATTAAACTTTAAGAGGAAAACGTTCCGCTTGTTAATAACCATATAAACAAGTCGGCGATAATCATTATGATGAGAATGAATTAAATTATACAATCTTTGGGATAATTGGTTCCTACATAGTTGGTTTGCGTTGTATTTGAATTTCTCTTTTGATCGCTGCCAGAATGTGGTTGATTATTAAATCTTAGCTGATGCCAGACATTCGACTTTTAATTTATTATGCTTTCACCGAATTTGTTACGTAGTTTTGTTCATATTGTCGTATTGGGTCCTAATTGAGGGGAGTGCTATTTAGGGTGTACTATTACGGTACATCACCCTCCCCAATAAATACCGTCTTTTCTACATGTAAGTAAGAACAACCTAAACTGGGCTTTAGCGAGTACCTCGTTGTGAATAAAGTTCCTCGCGATAGCTTTAACGATAACTCTTGCTATTATTTGACAGAACATTTTGTATCCTGCAATCTAATGCAAGGTGCGGGTAAGAAGGTTTATCCGGCTGAACAAGTTAATAAACTTACGTACAAAATTATAGTGCGGGCATCCTGAATAATTTGAGTTAGAAAGTTCCTTATGTAATAGTAAGCAACACAGAAATCAGACCAATGGCCGAAAACTAGGATCAATCTTGGTACAAAGCATGATAAATGCTGTGGATGTAGATATTACGGTGACCTTTTTGGCAAATAGACAGTAGTAGGTTGTCAGGATCGACGATGGCGTGATTTCCGCTCACTTGGAAGTACTGCGCTCCAAAGCTGTAGGATTTAACAATATGGGAACTCTGTCAGTTTGGTGTTAATGTTGCGCTATACAAAGCACGTAAGTATTTCGGGGTGAAGTGTGTACTGTTACACTTTTGAAAAGATATTTTTACCACTGTGTAGAAGTGTGCCAAAAACCACACATATCTCTAATACTAATAAAACTCCGCCAATTTTTAAGCAATTCTTATTAAATTATAGCTGTGAAACCCTCATATTAGGAGGTAACTTTGGACAAAATTCACGTGTGAATCAATTGACTGGTATGGTCCGGCGCAAAAAGTTGATACACCAATATGCTTATACTAGAATTTTATTTTTTTTGAAATTCATCCACATGCTTAAATAAATGACTTACAAATTGGGTTTTGAGGAATGTATCAGTAGAAATTTATTAAAACATGTACGCAGACAAAAGTCATCAATTTCTTCAACTTTGAGATCTTCACTGTCACTTTTGACCAATAATATATCATTGTTTAAATTTTCCTTGGCATTCTTCGCTCTGAACGCTCTGAGAATTTTTTATTTTTATTCAGCAACCACTCGTGCAATGGTTACCTCACCAATTCCAAGGACCGAAGCAACCTCCTTGCGTAGTGGCAAGTCTATACGTTGCGTCTGGCACTGTCGAGTATTTAAAAAGTATTGGTGAATGCGAATAATTATTCATTTTTCGTTACGGTTAAAAAACTTCACTCTCTATCTAGGTCTTCCAAGTTCTACATTTTTCTTACAATTATTTGATTTGTATGCTCACATGATTCGATTAGCAAATTTTGCGCCGGACCATATTTAGGTACAGTGAACCCTCTCTAATAGGGGTGTTAGGGTTTTAAAAAATGACGTCATATGTAATGATATTATAATGTCTCGAATTAAATCTTAAACTTTATTTATAATAAAAATTTCTTTATTTTTTTCTCCATATAAACTAAACCAATTTGTTCACCTTTTATGAATTGTGGTTCGATGAAAAATTTGTTAACTTTTTTTGTTGCCTCGCCTCGTATATATATATATATATATTCGATTGAATGTGTCGCAACAGACTTTGCAATCTTGGCATGTCTTGCTCTTCTACGAATTTGGCGGGGTCTTGCTGTTCTACATGCTGCAGAAGTAATTTGCATTGTTCCAATGCCGTAGAATGAGATTTCAATGTCGCTGCCTTCATTACAACTATCAGAATTAGACGTGTGGAGTATGTTTATACTTTAGTATGCTATTATAAAGAGACATTACGTAGTAAATACGTGATATTAATATTGTAGGTCGGAATTTTAAATTTTAAAATACTAATTTATATTAACGTTGATATCAGCGAGGTACATTTAATTAGGAATAAAATCTGATATGTGTTGATCGAGATATCAACGGGGTATGATATCCAAATTGATATATGCGGGAGAATTTAAATATGGGGAAATCCGTTCTGTAACCACTATTGCTAATAGAGAGAGGTTGATATTAACGGGGTGGATATTAGAGAGGGTTTACTGTATTTAGTTTGTTTGTTTTTTTGTCGAAAATTATTTATTAGAAATCCCTGTGATTAACCATTTTGAAAACAGTAATAAACCATTAGTGGAAAGGGAGATGTTTTATTAACGTTTATGCAGCAACGGCTTTTTAAATTTCAACCACCATTTTGTTAAATGAAAATTTTGGATCCGATTCGGTTCTTTTATTGTATGATTGTTTTAGGTCCTCCCACAACGTTTCGATAACTGGCGAGTAAATTTTGTTCGTCGCCAACAGTTTTGTTATGGGTTGTAATCTCATAGTTTAAATTAAGGCTTTCGTGTTATTAAGCTGATCATTGCAAATTTAAAATTATGATATTTAGCCAAAAGGAATTCGCTTGTGAACGTAAGCATTTTTGTAGAATATTATTGGTAGAAGCCAACAGATTTGTTTTATTACTTTAAACGATACAGTCAACTCTCTCTACATGCACCATCTATAAATGCACATCCTCTATAAATGCACGCCTTACTTTATTCCCAGGCTCGGGAATTAGAGATAAATGCACACCCTCCATAAATGCATTGCCATTTCCTCTCTAAATGCACGCATGTGATTTGTACTATGTGTTATATCTGATGTCTAGGAGATGATTGGATACTCTAAATATAAATTTAATGTTGGACAAACGACAAAGAGGGCAATGTCGTCACGATTGGATAAATTTAATATTGAGCTAACACAAATAGTGTTAGAGAGCTTACGCAAGCTGTTAATGATCTTAACTTGCCTGACAGTCTGCCGATTGATAAGTTTCTAAATTATCCTGAAGAAGGAAGAACCTATGAAGTGCCTGACAATAATACGTTGATTGAAGAACTTATTGAAATATACAAACAACCATGTATTGATGATGCAAAAGTTTCGTTTTTGATATATCAGGAGTTCCGTTTTTGATAGACCCAGATTTAGGTTCTGCTTTTGATATATCCGCAGTAAAGTCACGTTTTTATTAATGCCCTGAGGTTTATCCGTTGCGTTATTGTTAGCTAATTATGACTATATTCAATCAATCCATGATGCCAGACATATAACCATAGTTCATTTATGATATCCCACGGTCCTCTTTCTTTTGCAAACCATCCCAAGTATGTTAGAAATACAGTAGTATTCGATTAACTGCATTGTATCATTGAAATGTAACCCAGTATATTTAATAATGATTATTCATTAACTAGCAACATAATAAAGATATCGAAATCTATCGATTATTATATTAATATGAACAAAACCATTATTTTTTCGAAGCCGAGTATCCGAGTGTCATTAATACTTTTCTGCGAGCTTTTTCAATCTTCTCTGCAGAATATGGCAGTTTCTGCCAGATATGTGGATTTGAATTGCAGTCTCGATGAAGTCAAATTTAAACGAATTAATCTTCAATCGAACAGAGGAAAGACGCGTACGAAAACTATCACTATGCTGTATTATATAATCACTAATTCGTAATACGAGACACGATAAAGTCAAATTCTAAGAAATTTTACCGTCTTGTATAATGTCAAAATGAAATTAAGCAAAAAGATATTTTATTCGAACAGATGACTATCAAAAAATGCTGGGTATCAGCGAAAACGTGACTTTACTGCGGATATATAAAAACGGAACCTAAATTTGGGGTACTTGCCGATCTATCAAAAACGGAACTCCTGATATATCAAAAACAAAACTTTTGCATTGATGATGGTGACATTGATGATAGTGTTGAGCCACCGATAGTTAATGCCAAGCTGCAAATGGTTTAGAAACTGTTCGTTCATTTCTGCAGCAACAACAGGACCCTAAAGAATTGCTAAAACATGTGAGAGTGCTTGAGCGTTACATTAGTTTAAAGGCAGTGAGTGTAATGAAGCAAACAACGATAGATGAATTTTTGATAATATTAATTGAATAAACACACTAATACTAATATATCAAGTCACGTGCAACCAATAGAATTCTGACCCTCTGTAAATGCATCCCTCTCTAAATACACATTCCCAAGGGCGTGCATTTAGCTGTATATTGTTTCAACGATATTTATTGCGTTGTGATTGATTTTTATAAAATATTCGTTTGTCTGCGGATGAATACGTCATTAGATTAAGCCACTGATCAGCGTTGATCACACAGCATCTCCCATCGAAAAGAAAACAAGCGACAGGCCACAGCTGTGCTACTGAAGCAAAGCCTCACCAAAACGTCATCAGTTGAAATTAATTTATTTTCCAGCCACTATGGCGAATTTGATTAAAAACCAGTTTATTTGTATTAACACGCAAGGAAAAGCAGTAAAAGTTAATTGTTATACCAAAAATGTGACTGCTTAAAAATTAAAAAATGCAATTCAAAAAATCAGCCACAAAGAGTTGTGCACAAGTCACAGCCAAAACGTCATTAGTTAACTTTCAGCCACATCATAATTTAGCTCACATAGTCATTATCTGATTTTGCCCCACATAGTAGTAGGGTAATAGTAAGCAATATTGGCCATATCAAGTATGTAATGTTTGAAGAGGGCCAGTGTACGATTATGTAAGAGTAATGCATGTGGGAGATAAGGTCTCTACATAGGGTATTATGCATATCAGTATATATATACATAATGTATATATTTTCTGTCACTTATAAGTTGACCGCAACACAGACACCTTTCTCTATGGTTGTTATAGCAATAGTAATAAAATTGAATAATGAAAAGTTCTCCACCATTTACATTGGCAGGCAATCATGTATTGATATCACTCCCTTCCTCGAGAATAGAAGCAACATGCAAAAGTCTTTGCTCATCTCCATACTGTGCTAGCAACTGTAATCCAACAGGATATCCATCTTTGGGTGAAATCCCAAACGGAATACTTATAGCAGGAATACCTAATCCAGTAGTAGGAATAAAAAATTAAGACAATAATACAGACTTTTACAAATTCTATACGTCTTTCTTTCATTCATACCTGCCAAGCTGGCTGGAATTGTCATAACATCATTAACATATGCCTCTACAGCATTCCTTCCCTCTGTATTGGTAACTTCAGTAATCTTTGGTGCAGTTGATATGGTAACTGGTGTAATCAACACATCAACACCATCAGGTGCCTTTTTATCTGTGTGGTGTAATCCATTCAATGGATTGGCTTTAGTGAAAACAGCATCAAAATCGGTTTGGATAAGTTGGCGAACTTTCTGAGCTTGCAGAAAGCAATTCAAATAGGAGCTATATATTATAGAGTTAAGACGACATGTGTATGACGCTTGGGATTAAAAAGTAACTCAAAAATACAATGTAATGATTTAAATAACATACCCTTCAGTCAATGTATAAGTACCCAGAATTATCCTCCTTTTTACTTCTTCACCAAAACCTTCATCTCTTGTAGCAACATACAATGTTTCATCAGTTTCTGTTACATTATCACATCTACTTCCTAAATTTCCAAGAAATAACAGATGAGTTAATTGAGACATTGCTTTCACGACACAATATATAATAATCATATCTCTTAGTTATGTATCAGCATTCCACAATTTGATAATGTTTAGTTACCATATCTTATTCCATCATAACGAGCCAGATTTGATGACGCTTCAGCGGGGGCTAAAATATAATACGCTGGAAGCGCATACTGAGTGGACGGACAAGATACTGGAATAATTGTCGCACCTCGGCGATTAAGGTAGTCAATTGCTTTGTTCCATAAAGTAACAATAGTCGTGTCGAGCTCAGACACAAAGTAAGACTTTCGCGAAATTCGAAATAATTGAGCGTCAATGTTTGACACAACATACCAAATAAAAACAAAACAGGTAAAAGTTGAAATTCGCCCATTCACAGCGAATACTTTCAGTCTTAGATATCCGAAAAAGTCGAGAATTGGACTGGCAGGTTGTCATTCCCTGACGACAGGTTCGTCAAAGCTACGGTTGAAACGACAACCATAAGCAACCTGCCAGTCAATTTTACAACTCTTTTCAAACACTAAAAGACTGAAATTCGTCTGAAAATGCCCGAGGATGTCAACATCTTGGCCCGTGAAAGGGGATCGTACAATACTCTAAGATGGAAGGGTTACCTCTGGAACGCCAACGCGGATATTAGTCAAATTATCTGCGCAAATCGGTATATGCGAAGAATCTTGTTGAAATATTTCTGATGGAATGGAAGTTGTGTCTTTTTCATCATATATGGACAAAACATTGTACACAAGCCTAGCATCTTCAACAGTTCTTGCTAAAATTCCGACAGTATCCAAAGAATTTGCGTATGCAACCAATCCCCATCGTGAGCATCGCCCATATGAAGGCTTAAATCCAACAACGCCACAATATGAAGCCGGAAGCCTTACTGATCCACCCGTGTCCGATCCTAATGCAGCAAAACACATTCCACTAGCAACGGAGGCAGCTGACCCACCTGAACTTCCGCCAGCAATACGAGCTCCATCTTTAAGGTCTTGAATGTGATATGGATTACGTGTTTTGCCAAAATGACTATGTATTGTTTCAGATCCCATCCCGAACTCATCCATATTTGTTTTCCCAAGTATTATCGCCCCCGAATTGATTAGTAATTCGACTACTGTTGCATTAAATGGAGATTGGAAGTCTTTTAACATTGCCGATGCACACGTAGTTTTTAATTCGCTTGTACAAAAGTTGTCTTTAATGGCAATTGGTATGCCATCCAATGGACCCTTTTTATTTCCATCGCGGATTCTCTTGCCAGATTGTTCGGCAAGCTTCCGAACCTTATCTTTCTCTGAGATCTCAACAAATGCGTTAACGTGGTCATCGTATAGTTTGATCCTTTCAGTACATGCTTGAACCAACTCTAGAGGAGTAATGCCTCCGGATTCCATTAAATTATTAACCTGTGGATAGAATATGTTTATTTCTCAGGACGTAAAATCGCTTCATCAACAAGTTTGTTGTATTTACCTCTGTGATAGACATTTGCCATATTCTTCGACCTCCAACTGTTTTAGTGCTAGTCGAATAAGTTTGAAATCCTCGTGAGACACAAGATACTGCATATGCCGTGCGTGCCGAGATACTGTAATTCATCGTAATCTGTGGATGATATGAAACGCGTTGCAACAAAACCAGTTGAAGTGATCATTAGGATGACGTCTTCGGCATTACGCTATTTCATTTTCATTTGTTTCTCAGCGCTACAAATACCATACTGCTGTTGCTAAGAATATTGAAATTAATCAAACGGGGAAAATCTGACTTGACATCTAGTCTGCTGATTTCAAGTTAACTGTCTGTATTATATTTTTGCCCCATATTTTTTGCGTAACCTAACGGATTGCTGACTATTATGACCAGAGTTTGTTCTGCGACCTTACCATTTATATTGAAATATTAACTCGTTACGGGATTCTTTGTTTAACGCCAAATCACAATATTGAAGAATTTTTCATCACTATCGTTTTGTGTAACGGTTTTTTATCCTAGAAAAGTAATGCTAGCGCCTCATAACGCCTGCATTATCGTTATATCATAGAATCATAATTTGGCAATTTTCGAACATTCCACTATTTTCGTACTACAAGTCTACTTGATGATGATTGTGTGGATCTCCGCATTTCAAAAAAGCCACCACTATTTATCATGTGACTTCAAATGAATAGAAAAAAAAATAATCGGGAATTAACCCGACACGTTACACAACCCGACACGTCGCACAGCCCATAATATTTCTATTTATGGACAGAAACAGGAAGTTATCCGGCAGACAGAAACCAATAATATTGTGATATCATGATTATATCCAATAAAAACAGTAAAAATCTACTATTAAACCCCATAATATTCGAGATTGTACGACGTGTCGGGTTGTGTAACGTGTCGGGTTAATTCCTGATTATGAAAAAAAATTGGATGAATATTTTTCTGCAAAATGATGTAATAGTAACAGCATTTTATTAAGGCTAATGTGGCTGAAGTTAACTAATTTGGTCAACAACACTCAGCTGTAAACACAAATTTATTAAATTACAGGTTTAAATTAATATAAGTATAATCCAAGAATAAATTCGCTTGTGAGAGCAAACATTTTAGATTTTTGCAAAACAGTTCGCGAAGCCTTTTCGTAAAATAGCTCAATTTCTGTCGTTTTTTTTTAACGTCATTAATGCGTAATCGACATGCGCGAATTTCTGCGCATCAATTAGTCATGTGACTGTATTATTATAATTCTGTTATTTTATTATTATTTAGTATTAGCGAGCACCTCGTTGTGAATAAAAGTTCCTCGCGATAGTTATTTTATTATTATTATATGACAAATTAAAAATTAACGATATTAATATCAGTATCTAACTGCACTAAAGTAAGCATCAATACTTGGGATATTTAACAGAACGCAGGCGAAACATGTTAGAAGTCTGTTTGTTTGTAAGCCATTTCTCTTTTTTTAACAAGATTTAGCTAACAGCCGAACGGTCGATCGTAAGATTAAACTTCTCGTTAAAATAATTTGCCATATCGCTATGTTTCACGTTCGGATGTCGCCTAGGTAAATGCTTCGACATTTTTTGAAATTGTTTTCGACTTGCAGCGATATTTAAATCAATAAATACAACAAATTTTCTATTGTACTAATAATGCGAATGACGTTATTAAATATTTATTATTATAAAGCATGATATGACGTGCATTTAAAATTCAAGGATAATATGATTGTGACTGTAAAGGAGGTAAATCACTATGCATGGGATGTGTGACTATATAGGAGGTGACTGTAGGGGGAGGTTGACTGTAATACGTCATTGGTTAAGCCACTGATCAGCGTTAGTTATATCGCACATTTTTACGAACAGAAAAAATGACTGACATCAAAGAGAGCCTCAAACAGTTGAAAGAAGGACTAATAACCGAGAAAGTATATGAAGAAGAACAGAAGACACTTTTCCATCAACTGAGCGGAGGTAACGACTTTGTGACTCGGGCGTTGGGGACATAGAGTAGCGTGTACATAGAGTAGAGTAGAATTAGTAATATGGGTTGCAATTTATTATATCTATTTTCGTCCATCAAATTGACGACCTTGATATGCTGTTTACTTTATCCGCAATAATTTCATTTACTAACTTAAGCCTCATTATGATGCTCATATTTATATTTCTACATCTTCTCCTGCACGATCGAAGCTCAAGAAAGCGCTCCCAAAAAGCTAAAAAGCAAGTCAAGAGGGTCAGTATTGTTTTAACTTACTTCAAGCCGTCTAACCAATGCTTATTCCCCGGCATACAGTCCATCCGTTATTTGAAGCATACGAAGCGCTAGGGATCGACTCCAAAACCAGGTTATCAAATCTCGACAAGGCTCAGCAGTACGAGGTGCTGCGACGCTGGCCCGGGTTCTGGCCGAACAATATATACACGTCTCTTAGAGAGGCAGCTGCTCAGTATAAGAACGCTGGCGAAAAGTTTCCAAAAACTGGATTCAATACCAGCAAAGAGGAGTTTCTCATAGTCAACGGTAGAATGCTCTACATTTGTCAATGTTACCGAATACTTTATAATGCAATCGTCCAAGCCACCGAGAACGAAGATACCTGTATTGCCATGACCGGTACTCCGGGAATTGGGAAGTCTTGTTTCCTAATTTACTTCATCCTCCGGCTGTTGTATGAGTCCACTGACGACAAACCAAACATTGTTGTATTTCAGCCCGCGCCTAATAAGTATTACCTTTATTTCGGCACAGAATTCGTCCACGTCGGGAGTCTCAACGACTTTGAGCATGTTTTGGAACTGCCTTATGTCTGGTACCTGTCAGATAATGCCATAGGCCCCGAGGCAGTACGTGCAAAAACTGTAATTATGCTGTCACCAAAGAAGAAAGCTGATGAAATATTGATCAAATTTCACGAGTTTTTCAAGATTCTCACTGTCAGTGGCAAACTCTGCATGCCGCTATGGACCCTCAGTGAACTATCAGCCTGTAGAAAAACAATCTTTCCAGATCTGGATGAAGATATAATGTGTGAGCTCTTTGATAAGATCAGAGGCATACCAAGAAGTTTTTTATTTGTGCCATCAAAAGACCCAAAGCATGCTATTAAAGCTGGCATAAGTCGCATTGAGAGTGCTTTGAGATCAATTGAGGACCTGGTCAAAGTCTGCCAGTGCCTTGATGAAAGCCATGAGACAATTCAATTCAGCAGTCAACTACTGCATATGGTTCCTGATCCAGTAAACTATCTATCAGCTATATGAGTATTCACATTGTCAATGGGCCTCCCAATGGGTCATGGCCAAGTTTTCAGAGATCTTGAAGAAAGATTCTGTAGACTATCTGAGGCAAAAAGTGGCTGACCATACTGCACTTGACCCCAAGGGCTTATTTTTTGAATGCTTGGTGATAGTCTATTTCAGAGTAAGAAGGCCACATACAACTATTGGCCTGTTGACAATAGCCAAGCAGAACCAGAGAAACTCACAGTGCAACCCCCAGCAGATGTCATGACATTTCAAGATCTGAAGAGTCTGAAGGAGATAGTGAATGAGGCATGTGTGAGGGATGTTGTGAATAAATATCTTGTAGATGATGAGATGGATGAGGAAGAATTGACAAAGGGGCAGATAGAACAGAAAACGCGGAAGTTAATATTGGAATTGAAGATGTTAGATGAAGCCAATGAAACTGGGATGGATAGTTTATTGGAATTTACAGATCGAGATCAGTTTTTGCTACCAAAACAGAGGAATTTCGCCTCTATTGACCTCATTCACTGGCCCAAAACAAGTGATTATATTGAGCTTTTTCAAATCACTACATCCAAATCAAGCTAGAACCACTTAAAAAGATTATGAGAGTATTAAAGTGGCTCTGGGGATTGGCCAGTTTTGACTCATCTTTGTCATACCAAATGATGTACCTGACTATTACTATGGCTCTCAGAACTATCTTGGTCCAGGTAAAAGGGTGATTCAGGATCAAGATACACTTGATTGGGTGGAAGGTCACATAACACAATGGTTTTTGGGAATTGAATTGAGAGGGTTGGATGAGCAGGAGGAAGATTAGAGGTGTTGGGACAATATGGTCTGACTGACTGTATTACATGAAAGGATTATATCAGGTTTATCATTAATATTTGCTAATGATAATTATTGTTTACTGAAGATGCAATGGAGAAGTACTAGTCATATGGCAAATCTTATCCCGCTAATATATACTAATACGAGAAATTCAATATCGACACCATATTTGAGGTAGAAAAAGCAGCACGTGAAATGGACAGATGAACTTTTAACAATGTTTCCTCTACTAACATAAACACGATCAGGAGAATTATATTATTAGGTCAGACAGAAATGTTAAATATTATTTACAGCTTCGGCAAAACGTTAGGCCTAAAATCGAAGCCAGTTGCTTGTTCTGCTTTATAGATAAGCTGCTAACACGATATTTAGTTGATCAGTGACATTTTTAGTAGTGATTATTCCTTATACTAATTCTAAGACGAACTTTGGCAAACGCGCCTACACCTAGAAGGGAATATGCAATCTGCTAATTCATGATTCTTAACATATAGTGTAGTCTCTAAGATATGAGAATACTCCCTGACATCAATAAAATCACAATAGTCAACGTATAACTGGTACCTCCTTTGACGGCGAGACAGGAAAATAGGTGACCAAATAAGCGTTTACAATATCAGGTCGTAAATCACCAGCTTACACAATTGTATATGAAGGAATATATACTCTTATAGCATAAAAACCAAGTGGTCTTCATTTACTTAGACCAGGAAGTTGAGCGCGAATACAAAGACGCCATGCAACTAAGATTATCAGGATAAGCGAATGTCACCATCGAATTTTATATAAACACGCACAATTACACATAAGAATTCTCATGGGAACTTTTTTGTTCGTTCTGCCACCCAATCTGCACCAAGGGCCATTAAGATAAACGAATATTTGTCGGTGGCTTCATCGAGCTTTGATATTGAAACAGAAGAGCGGAGAAGGTTTGTTAGAAATGGATTGCATTGATGGAGAAGTCTTAAGGTTTACCTACTTTTTTCTGTGTTGGTTTCCCTGAACCATGGCCAGCCTGCAGAGAGAATAAATATAGCTAGTAAGTCAACGTAATTTCTTATTTAAATTGTCATGTACAAAATTCTTACCTTGACGTCAACGCGAATTGTCAATGGATTTGGATTGTTCTTAGCGACGTGTTGCAATTGAGCAATATATTTGTAGGAATGCAAGGGAGGACTAGTAGTTTGCGATATAATTAAAGCCTTAAGTTTCTAACACCATTCTTAATATAAAGTAGTAAAGAAGCACATACACTCTGTCATCATGATCGGAAGTGGTTAACAGTACTGATGGATATGGCTTCTCCGACTGTACATTGTGGACAGGTGAATATCTGTAAATGAACAGTTGCAAATTATTAATGCATATAGCAGGAAATGACTTGTTGTTGCTGTAAAATCTCTCTAAATGTCCGCACTTGTAAATGTATTCAAAGTCTTCTTTCTTGTCAGGATCTCCGTAGTCACTTTTCCACGCGTAGCCAATCGTAAACTTGTGATATCGCAACACGTCCAGTACGCCGACGTCGGACACCGCTGCTCCAAATAGCTCTGGTGCCTACCACGCCATATAGCAATTAGACAACACGACTACAATAAAATACCAATAGATTTACCTACCTGATTAATACAAGCTCCAACCAACAGACCGCCATTAGACCCTCCGTTGATGGCTAGTCTCTCAGGACGTGTGTATTTCACACCCGCTAGCCACTTGGCAACTGACTTAAGACGAGAACATTAGGGCGTTTAATATTTCTTTCTAAAAAACCGAATAGAACCAACCTGGAAATCGTCAAAACAGTTTTGCTTATTTTGTAACGTTCCTGCACGATGCCACTCTTCGCCATATTCTCCGCCGCCACGTATGTTAGCGACAGCTACAACGCCTTTATAAAACATGATAAACATCATCCACGGCACGCTAAACACCGGTTTTACCATATAATTAAATCCACCGTATGCGTATAATAATGTCGGATTGTCTCCGTTAAGTTGTACGTCCTAAATAGTAGACAGTTCCAGTTTCAAGGAGAAAATCATTGTACTTTCAATCAAATCAGCTTCTAACCTTGCGTGAAGTAATGAAGACAGGAACTTTAGTCCCATCTTTGCTAGGAACAAACACTTGCTTTGTGCACAGATTATCGGTATTCAGCCCCGGGACTACTGTCTTTTTGAATACTCTTAGTACCGAGTCGACAAAATTGTACCGATAAATAACCCCAGGATTTAGGAAATTGGTAAAGTGAAAAAACATCTCTTTATCCTTTCTCCGACCAGACACTGCCGCTATTGCTCCAATTGGAATTTCAAGTTGGCGGATTTTCTCACCAGTGTGGAGAGAATAAATGCCAATTTCTTCTTTAACATCGTGAAGGTATGTCAGAATAAGGTTATTTTGATGGACCACGTGCGCAGACGAGAGGATGTCGTCTGGGCATTCGGGAACAAGATCAACAAAGCCCTGATAATAGCAAACTATTAATGTGACCTGCGTTGGTAGACTGATTCATAATGATTCGTACATACTTCTTCGGGTTTAGAGAGATCATATTTAACGATCTTAGAACGAGGAGCGTTCAAATTTGTTCGAAAATAGAAGACAGTCTCATCATTGGTTAAGCTGAATTGATGCTGATGAGTTAACTAGCGGAATTATCGTGCCATAGCATAGAGTTTAACATAAATACACTTACTAGCGATATTCCGCGTCAAAATTATCCACTATTTTGTAAAATTCAAGGTTTTCTAATATCGAAATATTATTACAAGGAAAAGGATAAGCATTTCGGGACGAGTCATAATTAACGGCAATATTAATCAATGGTAGATTCTTTGATTGACATACCAGTGATCTTTCCTCCTGTTTTCTGTAAATCTGTTATCCAGAGCTTGTTGACACGCTCAGTACTCCTAGTGATTTCCAAGAGCACGTAACGCCCATCGTCCGACATCCCCATATAATGTAAATACTCTGGATGCTCAGGGTCTTTATAGACTAATATATCTTCGGCTTGTAAAGTGCCCAGTTTGTGATAATAGATCTGAAAATATAGCATATATTGATTAACTGAACTTCATTCTTTAACAAATAAGCGAGGATAACTCTTACCATCGGATTCAAGCTCTTATCTATCTCTGTGCCTTTATCGTCTGTTTTCGGTTCGGCATATCTCTATATAAACAATGATCAATTTCTTGCACATATTCTATGGCATTCTTGCACGCGACATATCTTTGCATACACTGTAGAAAAACCCAACATCGTCATGAGTGAAATCAAGGTAGCTGTACTTTAACCAGTCAATGACGTCGTCCAGCTTTTCGTTCGAGCCTTCGGCAGTCGTCTTTACATAGGCTGTAGCCCAGTCACTGCCTGGTAATGTGATCAAAGAATAAATTGTAATAGTCTTATTGTCAAGTAATTCGAAATATACTTTCATTCTAAGCATCATACCTGATTTAGATATAGCATACACGAAGTATTTTCCCGACTCTGAAAAGTTATAAGTTCTGATAGCAGCAGTTCCGTCTTCTTCAAGTGTGTTGGGCTGTGCATAATAAACCATCAATGTAAGGATATAATCAACTATTATTTGCGACATGGACAGGTTATGACTTGAATAGCTTACATCAAAAAAGACTTTGGCGTCGGCTTGAAAAGATGATAATTGATACAAGACACTGAAAATATTCGTCAGCAATAGGAAAACCAAGAAATTACGTTTTTTCGTATTGGGTCAGAGAATACCTCTGTTGTTGCAAGCCAGTGTTATAAAAATAATAATAATAATCCCCTGCTTTGAACGGACATCCATATCGTTCGTAATTGTACATGCTAGTCAACCTAGTAATTATCAATCGCATATGTCATTAGAAATTCATGATTAATTTTTACTCTCGACAACTCACTTACTTCTCACGAAATTTTTCACGATACGGATATGACTCGACAATCTTGGATAACAGTTCATTCTGGTTCTTGACAAAGTCCTAGATAGTGGATAGAAGTTACGACAACAAAGGTACACGTATGCTTCAATTGGTAACTTTCCCAAAAATTTTTTATGCTCAAATTTTACTTTTGTTTCCTCGCTATCAGGATCTTCCAACCATCGATATGGATCGTATATTTTATATCCATGTAATTCTTCGTAGAAGTTTTCATCTCTTCTGACCGGAGGATATTCCCATTGGCTAGACATATTAGTAATATTAGTACGAGCAAATGTCTTTAACGTCCTTGAGATTGGAATCCGCGAATTTGTTGTAGCATCGTACGTCGCACATCGCACACATAAGAATACACGCACGTAACACGACAAGGAAACAGAAAGTTCTGAACTAATATTAATATTAGTATGTTAATTTCCTAATTTAATAAAACGACAGCAGCTAAACTGGTCCAATACTAATTACTAGAATTTCAGGTCTAGTATTCAGTTTACGTTAAATATATTAATATATCAAAATGCCTTAATTATTTAAAACGGCGATTTAGCAAACAAATATACAAAGATGTTTATCAATCCGTAAAGGAAAAAAGTTACATGTATTAGTATTATTCGAGACCTAATAAGTACAGAATTATCGCGCTAAACTTTTTCCATAATAATAAAAAGACTCGAGTCTAACCGATTGTGATCGGTCATGTGTAACAGTCAGTCGTTTGTAGATCAGTAGTAGCGACTCTACTTGTCTACTTTAACTTGGTTTACGCAAAAATGTCTTTAGCAGATGAACTACTAGCTGATCCTGATTTCGGCGACTCTTACGATGCAGATGAGGGAGACACTAACATGTACGGTGACGAGGCTGGCGGGGAGGACGTTGATATGAATGATCTTGAAGATTTATCTGATGAGTCAATGGGGGAAGCTCAAGAGGATCAAAAACTCCAGGAACAAGAAATGAAAGGGATAAAAGACGTACGGAAAGTGGCCAAATTACTAGGATCGAATCACATGAGGGAAACCCTATCGGTTAGTGTTCTTTATTGTACTCTTAACAGTCGGAACTGCTTCCCTTTAACTGTTGGGCATCTTTGCAGAGAATAGAAGATCTCAAAAGTATCGAGCGTACGGCACCTATCACAGGCCCAGTCGAAGAAGACCCCGAGTACAAATTAATAGTCCAGTCAAATAATTTGACTTCAGACATGGATAATGAAATCATACTTGTACATAAGGTATATACATCGTCACATTATTGATTATAGTCTTTTCCATTCAAGAAAAGCTAACCTTATTTGTTATTGCAGTTTATAAGAGATCATTATGCGAAAAAATTTCCAGAATTAGAATCGCTAGTTCTTAATCCTTTAGATTATGCAAGAGCTGTAAAGGCGATTGGGAACGAAATGGTATGTTTGATCTTCAGCCCTTGCCTTCTTTTGTTGCTATTTTTTTCAGATATTTTTATCCATTCTTCTTTTTTAACAGCGCCCGTACCGATGTGTAAACATTCCACTGTTCCCTTCGCAAAATGCAGGATCTCACTAAGATCGATCTGCGATCTATGCTCCCATCGGCTACGGTAATGGTTATAACAGTTACTGGATCTACCACTACTGGTCAAAAGCTTACCGAGGAGGAAGCAAAAATTGTAGAAGACGCGTGTGATATGGCATTAGAATTAGATGCCGCAAAAAGAAAGGTTTGAAATAAACTAATTAGCAGATTTGGTTTCACATCTGTCAAGGAACTAATAATGAGTCGTTAAACAGATCCTTGAATATGTCGAATCACGTATGGCTTTAATCGCGCCCAACCTCTCGGCTATTGTCGGCAGCACGACTGCGGCAAAATTATTGGGTCAAGCTGGTGGACTAATGGCGTTTTGTAAAATGCCCGCGTGTAATGTCATAGTAAGTTTTGATTTGGGGGCTGATGTGTGCAAAAGTCATTCAACTTACGCAAGATCTTGCTCTCTTTTAGCTTATTGGTGGTCAGAAAAAAGGCAGTACAGGCTTTTCGACTGTTGTTTCACCGCGAAATTCGGGATATTTGTTCCATTCAGAGATTATTCAAAGAACTCCTGCTGATCTCAGAGGCAAAGCATTGAAGATTGTCGCAGCCAAGTGAGTAAATCACCGGTTGAAATGACAGGAGAATTTAATTAAGAGTTCGGAAAGGATTCATATTATTGCTTTGTTAGATGTATCCTTGCAGCAAGAATGGATCGCATGCACGAGTCGTCTGATGGTTTGTGTATGATGATTAAACATTGTATTTTTGTTTCTTGGTTTTCATCTAATGTTATTTTTACCGTCAGGATCATATGGGCATTCGTTGCGAGAACAGATAGATAAAAAGCTCGAGAAGATGCAAGAACCACCACCTACAAAGGCCGTCAAACCATTGCCAGTTCCGGATGATGGACCTAAGAAACGTCGGGCTGGCAAAAGGTAAGCATGAAACATTAAATCAAGGTCAAGAATACTGTCTAACGCAAAACTTCAAGAATACTGTCTGAACAATTTCTTTTCTTTATACAGAGTCCGACGTACGAAAGAATCGTATGCAGTTACTGAATTCCGCAAAGCTCAGAATCGCATGGCCTTTGGTGTTGCGGAGGACGAGACCATATCTTTTGACAAATCAAAGGGGCTTGGACTAGTTGGCACCAATTCTGGGAAAATTCGAGCGGCAGTTGCTGATCCACGAACAAAAGGTATAATGCAATTCAAGATGATTTTATGGAGACGAAAATACTGCTCGAATTAACGCTTTTCTCATCTATCGTAGCCAAAGCGCCAAAGAAACACCACTTTTTAGGAGGTTCTTCAGGTGCCACTTCAGGATTAGCGTCTTCCTTGGCATTCACTCCTGTCCAGGGCATTGAGCTAATCAATCCGGAAGAAGCACAAAGAAAAGTGAAGGAAGCTAATGACAGATACTTTGGCAGCGCCACATTCGTAAAAGTTGGCAAAGAAAAGCAACAAAAAAGTAATAATGGACATTAAAGTTAATCGCTTATTTAGTCGATACGTTTACGTGTATATGTCACCGGGCGGCTATTTCTAATAAAAAGTTTTTAGATCGTGGCTCAGAATGCTCACAGCTGCTGACGTGCACACTTGGAATTCTTAACGTTTCACACATATTAAAGCCCATTCGAAGATATTCTCTTGACCAACATGTTTTAGTTCAATATACAAAATTCATTGCAATTGTTTTTTAATTGACTTTGCATCACGATGACCCAGTTGCTTGTCTCAGGATACTGGGGCCTGTATGTAACTATACAGAAACCATGTGTAAAATCCATACACAATGAAGTATTGGACAAGTGGATAAATTATATGGTTTATTGTTCAAGGCACGAACAATGCCACGCGCGCGCTTGATACTTCTGAGGCGGAAAAGTAGGGAAATAATACAATCTGCTTACACCTTTGCTATAAGGATTTCTTTGCTGAAGCTTATACGAGAACAGAATGACCGATATATGTTCAAAGTACGCCCTGCTTAAATCATCCCAGGTTATTAATCATTAATGCTGCAGTTTAATCGCAAAGCATATAATACCTTGTGCATATTCTATTGGTAGCCGCCGCCACAAACGGCAGTATGGTTGAGAATAATTAGGTTTAATGTTTTCCAGTCTGACTCGACCTACTTCCGGGCTGGTGCGTTTTGATCACTTCTATCATTTCATTTCCAATTCTAACACCTTCCGTGAACCTACAAACGTATACGGGACAATTAGTTCCAAAACGCTCATACGTGAGCACGAATCTATGACATACCTCTCTTTAAAGAATTCGGCCGTTTCTTCGAATCGCTTCTGATATGCAGCCATGTTCCCCACTGCAACACATTCTGCCCAGCCTTTGGAAGCAGAATAGAATTCCATATCATCTGCTCGAATGTCTTTATCATACAATGCTGCTTGAATGGCTTCCTTCAGCATTTCAGTGTTGCGAAAGAGATATTCTGCTATTCCGCTGGAGCGATTCAATGAACACGGAATTTTAAGAATGAAAAAGATCGGGAAAACATAATTATTTAGCATAAATATGATTCAAGCTGATAATCGACTATTGAAGATTCATCCAACACAAAATATCTAGCTTACATCCACAGTCTGAATAAAGGTGTTTGACAGACCATGTGTTCATATGGCCTAATGCCAAGCTTGTGCCAGCTGTCCACCTATAGTCAAAAATATCATTAGTATAAAATTTACTTTACCATTTAACCAATATCTAGCCGTACCATTGCCAACAGTGACAAGTGCGAGTTAGGCTTCCTTTGCTCGCTCGGTACACTCGACAGTGAAAATCTGTCTAGTATCGAATCGCTTAATAATATTGGCTGCCTGCTTTCAGCATGTTTACCGAAAACAAAATCTCCCGCCTAAGAATGTTCTAATATTCTATAAGTACATGTGCAGTTTTGTTCATTATCTGCTAATAATTACTATTCGTACCAACTTGACACGATTCTCGAATTCCTCTTGTTTTTCTTGGATCATTAGTTTAAACAGATCAGAGACAGATTGTGCATATTGGCGGATTTGAATCTCTGCACTTGGATTCATCATTGCGATACCTATTAACAAAGTAATAAGTTTAGTCGAATTCAAAACAATTAAAGAAATTTCAGGCGTAACTTACCAGCATACACGTGCCATTTATTGGAATAGATGCGTAATGTCATGTTTATTTTTACGTTCTCTATTCCTCCAACGTATTGGGGCGTTTCCCACTGATAGATCGCAAATAAATAAATCGATTTAGTATGTTCTTCGAGTTAAGTGATATGAAAACTATCGGTTCCTACCGGAAATTGCATTTGAGTCTTCCATGCCGTACCCATGCTTTTCAAAATAGAAGACAAATTACTTAAGCCAAACGCGTCTATGTTATACCAAAATAATTTACGCTGCAGTTACCTCAGAAATGCTACGTGGGTAACAGCCTGTGTATCAGCTGTTATTCTATCATGTTCTTTGTACGATAATTCAACTATTTCAGATTGCAAACAGGAAAGTATGCGAATTACGAGATTGTATTTGTCATCCGACGCGCGATGACGTATCAATACCTAATCAAATTTAGTGCGTTAATTGTCAATTGTTAATATAAAACATGCTGCTATTATAACTCACCAATGGTTGCCCTTTAGAATGAACGGTTGGTCCGTGCAAAGAATGACAAGTTACAATATGGACATCATCGGGCAGGTATTTTTCAAATGCGCGAATTTCCGGTTCTTTTACAGATGTCTAAATCGTAGCATCGTTTAGCACAAATCCAACTAAACTATCATGACCGCTGACTAACCTGACCACCGACAATTGCTCCCATCTTCGTAGCTAATCATGATACAAACATAATCAGAATGAATACTCTCCGAAGGAATTAGACATCAACAATTAGAGTCCTACATGGTCCATATTCGGCAACCACACGTTCTATATTTTCGGCTTCAACAGAATAAATAATAAAATCACTCCTCCGCGATACAGCATGTCCGTCTTTTAGAACAGTCAGGCCGCTGCCTAATACAATAAATGTCAGCTTGTTTGACATAAAGCACTATATTGTAAGAGAGTTATACCAGTAACCACCTGCTAACGCTATTTCCAGCCGTTCGTACTTCGAAGGCAAGTCGCAAACATTTACACTAAACAAGTTATAACGAGTGAATAATGGAAAATATTGAAACCAATCAAGAATAAACTCTCGCGCATTACTTCTTCCAACCAGCCTCGACTAGCCTCTTGGCATACATCATTCCCATCGCTCCTAAACCGATTAAGCCAATTTCTAGTTCATCCATTTCCACAAGATTCATGTTGTCTACAGACAGATCTGTATTTATATGCATGGCCAACAAAAATCCGACGCTCCCATGAGGCCGCAGACCATTATTATTATTATATTTAAAACTGCCAAATTGGTTTTTTCGCACGATAAACAATGTTCATTATTACGGCTTTACCAACGGCTTTGCTCGTATAGAATGTTGGGTCAAAAGAATATAACAAAACACCCTCCAAGTAGAACTAACCAAACAAGTTTTGCACCCAACCGAGATAATATTAATATTAACCAACTTAGAATGTATATGTTACTGGTATGCTTTATTTTTTATAAACTTTTTATTAAGACTACAATGCTGAATGGAAAATTCGAGGAGTCTGCCCGATGTAACTCTTTTCCAAAAGCTGAAAGCGGGACTCCCAACTACGGGGGAATACTGCAGACAAAATTTCCTCATCAACATGATCCTTTTCCCTCTTAAAAAATTGATCGAGTACAAAAAATTTGCCTTGCAGTATCAATACGCTCTTGAATCGTCTTGTAAGTGTTGTTAATGGGATGTGTTTTTAAAAATTCTGTGAGTGTCCTACTCGTTCCAAGAACAATTGTCCGATTGCGTGTTGCCATCACGGACGAGACGCTCATGAGTAGGCTCTATATCATGTTCGATCCCAGTTTATAATGAATGAATGAATAAACGCATAAGTAGTTCGTGCTTGAAACTACTAAAATATTATGGAAACCTTATCAAAACACAACATTTGCCAATGAAATCGGATAATGTCCCTTCTTTCGACATCATTAATATTGCCAGGAACATCGATAACTTTGTTGACCACCATTATAAGGTATTAAAAAAAAAGTTATAAACACTTCAAGAATTGAAAAGAAACTCACAAATCCATCAGCACTTTGCCAATGTATTTAATCATTGTCGCATGAAACTTTTTTTTGCCGCTATACGAGTACGTCAGAATTTTGCTCCTTACATCCTCTATTGGAACCTGCAAACATTAATAGGAGAGATTATTCGATAGTACTTCTTATAGACTGGCATCCACGATAATGTTCTTATTCTAGATCACCGCATGTTTAACTTGGTTATGGTTCTCTACTTCTGAATCAGATGACTACAAAACTAAACATGACTCCCTTTTTGGCTTTATCAAGATGGAATACATCTAACAGATATATGCCGTCAGGAGATTCTTCACATACTGTAGATCCTATAATTACAAAGAAAAGAGGTCGCGTGTTAAGTAAGGTGTTTGATCCGGATCTGAGAAATCAGTTAGGCGGTAGAGAAAACCTCTTGTAGACGAAGCAGGGTTGATAATTGCGATACAAGAAGAATAGTGTAAAGTTAGTCTAGAGATATTGCGATATCAATTATGAGCCTACCAAATGCTGTAAGTGGAATTACGCGCGGAAATATTTCAACACGTGACACAAAAATCTGGTATATAATTGATCCTGATAATCACTCAAGTCATATGACAGATAATGTTTTTTCAGCGACGATCCCGGCACGATTCTTATTATTCGTACTTATTAATATTAGTATTAGTATTTTTGATCGTCACTCAAGCTATTTATCATATGACTTGTTCATCCATTAGTTAGGGGAGAGGAAAAGCATATTAATATTTCGTTGTCACCTTTGAAAATGGCATCGCCATATGCGAATGATTCAGCGTGGAAACCTGACATTGATTTGTGTAAGCTCTCAATACTATTATGCAATCATTCCCAGAAATGTGAAGCTAACCTATCCATTTTCTAGCAAAACCAAGATATGACCAATCAACATATGTAGGTCGGGTTAGACATTTCGTTGACATTACTGACCCGAGGTAAGAGACAGCGCTTTTGGAATATCAGTAATGCTAGTTTACCTGCAGCAAAAGTTCTTTACAGGACTTTATTTGTGACCCGTAAGGGTCTTGAACAGGCCAAGAACCTGATCAACGACTATAACGCTGGTTTAATCCGTACTACGGATCCAGAAAAACTATGGAAAGCAAAAAAAAGTAGGTTGCAATTCTATACCTGTCGTACACTCATGTTTCTTTACGTCCGTATTAAAGTTTTTTTCCTCGCTATTAAATATAGTTGTGAATTCTACTATTCACCCTGACACCGGAGAGCCTGTATTTCTTCCATTTCGCATGTCATGTTTTGTGCCCACCAATCTTGTCGTAGTAGCTGGAATGCTTACGCCTAATCCAAGTGTATGTTGAGAGCTTCTTACGTTCAATTCACTATTCAACCGAGCTAATAAGTTAGCTATTACAGATCAAGTCAATTATATTCTGGCAATGGGCGAATCAAAGCGTCAACGTAGCCATAAATTATGCAAATGCAAACAAAACCACGAAGATGGATTTTAAGGAGACTGCCAGTAAGAGCATCGGAGTAAACCATTGAGAAGCCAAAAGTTTGAACATCCTTTGAATGTCATAAGACATATTGAGTTATTAAAGTATTATCTTCTTCATAGCTGCTTATCTTTCTGCGGTTACCGCATCTTGTGGGATAGCAGTTGGTCTCTCGCAGGCTGTCCCTCGATTGAAATCTCTTAGTCCTTCGATGAAGCAAGTGCTGTCTAGACTTGTCCCGTTTGCTGCTGTTGCAGGCGCCGGGACAGTAAATGTGTACTTGATGAGATGGAAAGAAATCAAGTAAGTGAAAATATGTATGGCTCAAAATCACCTGCGATACTTAGACCTTCTTGAATAAAATGCTCTTGTCAACGTGTCGCGTTATCTCAGAGATGGTATCGATGTATATGATGATGATGGAAGGAATTTGGGGAAGTCAAGTAAAGCTGGAGCATCCGCTGTAAAGCAGGTATGATGATAGTAATGATATTCTCTTTTATAAGTTCTTTTCGCTTAATTGAAAATCACGTTTTGCCCATATGTAGGTTGCCATCTCCCGCGTGTTAACAGCTTTTCCGGCGTTGACCATACCTCCTTTGCTACTTTCGCGACTTGAGAAGACACGATGGATAAAGAGAAATCCTAAATTAATTCTGCCAATAAATTTTGGTGTGTATGTTCAAGAAATGAAGTCATTAAATGCTGATTTACTAACTTATTACGCCCGCCCACCATAATTTTTTTTTCCTAAACAATATTTCAGGCTTAATTACTATTTCACTTATGACTGCCCTCCCGCTGGCAATTGGTGCATTTCCGCAGAGAGCGGAAGTAAATCCGCTAGCATTAGAAAGAAGGTTTTGGGACATTCGAGATGAGAATGGACATGTTATAAATAAAGTGTACTACAATAAAGGATTGTAAGCAGAGGCGTTATAGAGTTGCTCTCGCTTCTCGTCTTTCGTGACAGAATAGTGTGGACAATATAATCATCTCCCATGTGATTGCAAAACTTTCTTATTTCCCGCGCATAGATGGATCTAATTTCGACGAACAGGAGACCTTTATTATTACATAAGATATCTTTTGTTAGTCAGCCTCCCACGAGCAGTGAGATGCGAAGAATCATAATAATGATGAAAAGTCTCGCTTAGTTAAATTATTCGCTCGCCAATGATTTGTAGTCTTTTTTCATGTGATAGAAATAGATCACAGATCTTTAATTGGCTATCAAACGTGTTACACTTATTTTAAATTTTTGTGAAGTCTCATTTTTCTTGTCAAGTCAGTAAACACAATAAACAATGGCAGCTGCAGGGATTACAACTGGTAGCTTATTAATCTTCTTCCCGATACCTAAGTTTGCTAAACGTGTTCTCTAACTAAATAATTTATCAGATGAAGCAAAGTTATATGATAGACAAATCAGATTGTGGGGCGTGGAAGCTCAACACTGGTAACATTAGATAATATTATATCGGGCTTCTAAGGTCTTTTCCTTGACATAAATATACGAAAAGTCAGCGCGCTTATTTTTCCTTGATGATTAGCATGCGTAAATCATCTATACTTATAGTTGGTATACGAGGCCTCAGTAATGAAGTGTGCAAGAATTTGGTGTTGGCCGGAGTTGGTGCTGTCACTCTGCTTGATCATGAAATCGTCAAGGGAGAAGACCTGGGAGCACAGTTTTTTGTTAACAAAGATGATGTCGGAAAGAATGTATGATGGTCAAAATTTTTGCGGGTCCAAGAAAGAAATTCACAACACATTAACGCAATATCGTGAAATTTTTTCCCTATTTAGAGGGCGGTTGCTTCTGCTGACAAGATGAGACAGCTTAACCCTAGAGTCTCAATCAAAACAGACACTGGTGATGTTAAAGATAAGCCAGAAGAATACTTTGAGAAATATGATCTTGTATGTCTAACTGACTGTGATCTAGAGACAATGGTGAGCAGTTCATGATTACAGTCAAATGCTAGCATCATTTCATAATCTAATCCATATATTCATATTAGATACGCGTGAATAAAATCTGTCATTCGTATAAAAAGAAGTTTTACTCAGCGGCGGTGTATGGCTTCTATGGATATATATTTACAGACCTTAATAAACATAACTTCACAGTGTATGTGCCAGCACTAGAAATAATTATTGTTGCAATTTTGTATTACCATGCTCATTAATCTTGTCATAGGAAGGGTCAAGAAAAAGAGGAGGAGTTTGTAGACATGGAGACAGCTTTGAAGAAGTCTGATTGGTCATCCTTATCTAATAAAAAGTTAAAGAGGATGTCACCTTTATTATGGGCTTTACAAGGTATGTCAAATGATTTAATTGTATTTACTGTGCTTATTAATTAATGTTGCATAGTTTTGTGGAAGTTTGAGCAGGAAGAGAACAGGCTTCCCAATAACTCAGAATCAGATTTTGCAAAGTTGAAAGTGATAAGAGACTCATTGTCAGTATTGAGTAATCTTCAGCCATCTATGATACCAAATGAAATTCTCAAGTATGTAAAGAAAGTCATCATCTAAGTTATAAACTATAACCTTTGATATTAACTTGTTAATTGTCACAGTTCACTAGCATCAGCACCAGAAACAGAATTGTCTCCTGTGTGTGCAATTATGGGTGGAATATTAGCTCAAGATATCTTGTATGCAGTTTCCCATCAAGGCATGCCCATAAATAACTTTCTTGTCTTTAATGCTCATGAGAGTAAGTATTTTATTTCTGTATTAATATTATAATTAATGATGAGTATTCCAATTGCTTTGCCATTGACTCTGCTTTGATATAAAGATTCAGGACTTATTTATAAAGTGATGCCAGGTAAGCTACCTTATTAATGAGATTATTAGAATTTGATCAGACAGATGGTTATGCCCAATTATGCAGAATGAAGTGTTGGAGAAAGTGAAAGTCAATATAAAAAGATGCAGGAATTAAATTTGAACAATTCTTGAGTCAAATTGCATAGTTCCCTGTTATTATGTGGGGTAGTACTCTCCTACTATTGTATCATTATTATGTATTACTTTTGTTATGCTTATCACAAATGCGGACCCAAAATAGATCATGCTTTAATATTGAAGCAAAATAGGGAAGATAATATGACATAGATAATTTGTGACATTTAACTCTGGAATCTTTCCATGGCCTGATTTTTGTTGCTCAGAGAAAACATTTTAATGCTTAATTATTATGCATTATAAGATATTCATCAATAACTTTGTCAAGACAAACTGATTTAATATTCAATTTATAGAACCTCAAAGATTTTAGCAGTAGTAACAAGCTCTTACTGTATTATCATTCAGATTCTCTCGATCAAGTTGATACCTCATTCAACCTGCAGCAATCCTGGACCTTGCATTTTGCGACTTTGACACAATTGCAACCCAGGATTCAAAATAGTGTAAATATTCTATTTGTAGTTATTTTTATTATAGAAACTGATCCCATTGATAGAGGAAAGTGCAATTGACAATCTAAATCGAAAAAATGCATATACAAGATCAAACGCAATGTAATGAGTATATAAATCCAAACTAACTGGTTAGCGATTTAAGTAGGAGTAGAGGTTAGCAAGCCTCGATTATCCCAAGGCCAGTTACTGAATGCTCTCCTCGTTAAATGTCTCAGCTCCAAGTCTAGTCTCCCTGGATTCTCCTTGATACTTGAGGGACATCCTCGGTCAACTCTACTGGACATTACCTTCAATCTTAGAAGAGATGCCAACTTATCCGATCTTGCACCCCAACTTATCAACCAATTTAATGACTGGCCCAAATGAACGAGTTGGAGTTCTTTAACTACGATGCCCGCACCGAGAGTCTTCGCCCAGTACTATGCTTAAGGCTATGGAGCAGGAACACGTCAGATGGAAAGCCACTTGTCGTGCACTACCCGCTGACGGATAACACTAGTACGTCTTTTTTTCTTGTGCATATTTCTTACGCTCGGACAGTGTGCCTTTCTCATTTCTTGTTCTTGGCCCCTGACCTTATAGTCGTGGTCAAAGTCAGATTGCTCGGTACTCCAGCGGAAATTTGCCTCCCCCCCCACGACTGGAGTCTGGTACATGCACCAGACTGGCGGGCAACAATGGCTTTTGCATTAGATGACATACTCGAACTAGCCGGCACGATAACATCGCTACATGATAATATACTGCTGTACTGACCGTAAGTAATTGGCAAATGACAACTATTCCTTTTCTAACACATTATTAATTAATCTATACCTTGTCCACTTACTTACTACTCCAATTCTCCAGATAAACCCATTCAAGTGCGATGTCACTACGTATAATTCAGCCAATATACCACCACACGTACGTGGATCCGCACAATCGCCACAATAAAATCCGCAATACGTAAGCGGCGGTGGATCAAGCTTAAATATAGCAGAATTTTATATTATAGTGTATCACGAATCCTCCAAGAAAAATTTGCATGAGAGAACAAAGAAGGGGAAAGTAGGATCTCGGGTATCGCTAATAAGAGAGTTGTATATGCTTTCTTTGTAATTTCTCTAGACTTTGTTGGCAAACCTTTCATTAACAGCGGCGCTCTGATGCGTTTGTATTACTCTCGATTGAGTTTTCCAAATAGCAAAAGATAGGGAGAACGTTCTCCCACATCCACAGAATAGCTAGAGTAAATCCATCAACGGGAAATCCTGTCTGTCGATGTTGTTTTATCTATATTAAAAATAAACAAACAAAGAACTACCGTCCTTACCAAGGCCTCCCAATAAATGAATAACATAATAAAAATTAAAGCAACGAAAATGTTCTTATAAGATAAAACCATAATTTAAATGCCCAGTTCGACTATGTCTAAATAATCATATTATTGTCTATGTAACCTAACCCCTTCACACAAACTATTACATGCAATTTATATTACTTACTCCAAAATATTCTTTATTTACATATACAAATAATCTCGCTCATAGATTAATAACACAAACTACTGTCACTCTTCATGTATTTCCTCTTTAGAAATTACAAATTCTCAATTACTAGAAAGGGGAGGGGTGCCCTCTGATACTTCAACCTAGCAATGCTCAATGCTGTCTTTGCCAGTGCTAGTGAGCCACTCACGAATTGTATCAGATTTGACTTCACACACACCATTTTGCTCATTGGCTAATGCCTTCACCACCTTTTCTTGTTCAAGAACTTGTTTCTAAACAAACAGCATTATGTGAACATTTTACATATAGCCACTATTGTTGAGAATGCTTCATTGTAAGTACTTACCATAAAGTAGGCAATTAGTTCAGACACCCGCAAGAGAATTCCATGCAAATGGCAACCGGGCACTTCTTACTTCTACAGCTTTGAAGTTTGACTTATGCATAGATATTTCAATTAAGATGATGTGATCAACTTTAAAAGCAAATATATATCAGTAACAATTATATAAATTGTAATTCCAAGGTTTGTGAAACTTACCAATAACTTGTATTGTGTAAAACTTCAAGTTTTTAGCTGTGTTTGAAGATGCATCTAGATACTGCTGGAGAGTACCTTGGAGCATATCTGCTCCTTCTAACAATACCTTTTCCGTGTCTTCCATCATATGTTTACAATCCTGCTCTGCAGGTCCTCCAGATACTTCTATGGTTGCAAAGTCTCTCTGATCTGTCTTGACAATGCAAAGAGCATTGACTTTGTAAGTTCTTGTTTTCTGGTCTGGATCTTTGACAAATTGCAGTGCTTTTTGAAACATCATATGTTTCTCTATCCTGTTGTTGCAAATAAGCATAATAATAAGAAAAGGCAACATTGAATGTAGTACTAGTACATGAAGCTTATACATACCAGTGAAATGTTACAAGCCCAAAAACATACTCAGTATACTTGAATGGAACTGCCACCTGTTCCAGCAAAAATTTCCTTTCTGAAGGATGTCTTTCAAGGGTATTATTGCTTGCATAACGAACCATTGTGTGACTTCACAGATTAAGATTGCAACATTATGTTAACTTTTCAAAAAAAAGAAAACAAAAGCTTCAATGTATACTTACAAATCTATTAATGTACTCTGGAAAACAGCACATAGCTTGTACTCATACTCACTAGCATCTTTCAATGGAATATTTACAACATTATCAAATTCTTGCACAGTGCTCTAAATATTATTGGCTTATGATTAATCATATGAAAGATCATTTCTCTCATACTATTGTAATGATACTCACAGAGAGAACATGACGTAACCATGTCAGTAATGGCCCTGGTAAACTAGCCAGCTTACTTTGCTCATATGAATGGCATTGAATCTCCTTTGCAACATCTGGGTGCTGCTTTTCCAGCATACATAGAAGTGATTTTAAACCAGGCACTATTTTGGGTGTCAAGCTATCAAAAGAGTAATAAAAAAGTAAACTTATTGAAATGGATATTCTATGGCATTTAATAGAATGATACATACTTTGCTACCATCTTTGTCTGAAGGATAGATTTATGTGGTGTACTGAATGTGCCCAAACTAGCCTTCTGCTTTTTGGGTGATGGAGTTGGGGTCTCACATCCACTTTCTTCAATGTCATCCTACATTAAGCAAGACAATAATAGCACTTTTAGCAAGCAAACTGCCAGAACTCCTATGACAACTGCTTACCTCTTCACATGTATCTTTGATGCTCTTTTGATGTCTCTGCTTGCTTGAAATTATGACAGTCTTCTCTATGTCATTACTAGCACCACAGTTGAGCATGCTTGCAAACTTTCTTTTATAGCTGGCATCTGTTTCATCACCCTAAAAAAAAGACAATGCATGACACAAATGAGAAATAAGCAATTCTGCATGCCATATGACAAGCCAGAACATACAAGAATTACTGGAAAGATAACGATTTCTTTTCTAGTTAACATCCTAATAATATTGTATCAGCTGAATTGAATCTTATTGTTATTATTATGTCAAAGAAATAAAAATATAAGTGCAGAACTCACTGAAAGCAGGTGATGGTTGATTTCTTTTGAGACATAATAATCTCGAGATGGGCCTTCCATAAGCTGAAAAAGTTGAAAAGGGGTCAACACATGTTGATCTTGATGATAGCAGTTACTATTACTGCTTCACACATATTATACCTTTTCCATACTGGCAGCTGATTTCGCCAGTTCGTAGCGTGCACACTGTTCAGCATGGTGATCTAAAGCACTTGCAGTTTCTTGATCAAGTTTTGCAAATTCCTGTACATAATTTGAAACGACCTTTAGCAAATATATTGATGGAATACAATGCGTTATCGTCGCCTCGTGGACTTACCTGGTATTCTAACAATTTTTTGAAAAAAACACGAAATGCCAAGCTGATGTTCTTTCTTTGAGATAAACTTCGCAAAGTTTCCAGCCACATTTTTTCGACGCTTGCCGAGCTCTCGATTATAGAACCTGACTTTATTATTTGCAACACAAAGGTACGGAAATCCCAGCTTTTGAGGTCTAGTTGTTGGAGCACTGCATGTATATCGGTAGGTGTAACGAAGGTTTCCGAGGTCTCCGGGACAGTTGGTGGGTTAAAAGGCGACACTACGTCAGAAACGCAATCGAACGACATGTCCAGTTTGTTAAAAATAAGGCTCCAAAGTCTGCGCGTAAACGTGAAGCGTGATGCCTGATCGCACGTGACTGGAACAAAGAGAAAATTTTATCTCATACTCATTGACATCAATAGATAATAATAAGGAAAAACGTGATGAACGGTGAGACGTGATGTGACATAAAGACTTACAGTAAAAGGCATATCGATATCAACTTTTCCGCTTAAATAAGTCCGGTTCCAGATGAACAACACACCTACTAGGTACAGGGAGGATGCGAAGCTGTCTGCCAGTTGGCGAGTGGACTCCTGCCTGCGCGTTCATGGGCTTTTCGTCTGCCAGCTGGCGGAAAAGCTCCTCTGTCGCACCTTATTCCAACAAATGCTATTGCTGCCAGCTGGCGGATAGCCTCTTTGTGATAAGGTAAACAGGTAAGACGGAATAAGGTCGCTGCCAGCTGGCGGGCCAAGTTCTAAGATGGTCTTCAATATGTTGTGTCTGCCAGCTGGCGACAGTGTATTTGGAACCATGTTTTCTTCCCATAATTTGTTTTATTGTTAGTTTGGGTGCAGTTATTGCTATGTTCCTGTTTACACTAATGTCATCTTTAAGACAGGAAAATTTCCATGCTTATGAGTGCATCACATCAAGGCATCCTGGTTCAGGATTGTTTTTAGGAATAAGCAACGCGTTCTATGATCAGAGTCCATTAGACAGATGATTATGATGGTTCATGAATGTGCAATTTAAATTCTCTTTTCTTACCACACCTCTGTTATAGAGGCTTTTCTAGTCTTACATCCAAATGCTTGTAAATGATGACCACCTCCTCTTTTTACATTTTCTTTAATATTAACGAGTATTAGTATGAGTGCATATTAATTCCTTTAACAAATCTTACAAAACCAGATAAAAATGTATATATGATATATAACACAATTATGAATGAATACAAGAAAGCTCTCTGTTTCTTGAAAACAGGTTGTCAGTGTGGTTACTCAGCCAAAGTTCCAAAGGAAGGTTTTGCAGAATTGTGTGAAGCCTTTCAAGCATTGCCCAAACCAGAACAAGATGCATTTCTAATGGCACAAATTAAAGCAATGGGATCAATAAGCACCAGCAGATGTCTGAAAAGAAAATCAGATCTAATAAAAAACTTTCTATTGCTGGAATCACACCTCTATGTCAAGAAACTTATCTCAATATTGGCAGAACTTATTTTGAAAATATTAGAAATCATTTAATTATCAATGGTTTGGTTTCCAGACTTTATGGCAATATCAAAAGAATGCCTCAGTAAAAAACCAAAATGGTAATTGATTACAATGTTGCTACTACTGTAAAGAATTTTCTTGAGAACTATGCTGAAATTAATGGTTTACCAAGTCCATGAAGAAGTGTTAATAGAATAACTCGATCAGTTATCTTTTTTACCAACAGAAACAACTTACAAATCTGTTTACCAGAACTTTTTAGCAGGTTTGGAAGGATTAATAACTTGAAATTATTGAAATATAATGCATTCAGAAAGCTGTGACATCAATTAACACCAGAGATTCAAATTATGAGTCCAAGAACTGATTTGTGTGATACTTGTCAGAATTTTCACAATGTATTATTAGTAATAGAAAAGTGATGGCAAAAAAATCTTATGGACACATGATTATCAGGGCCATCTCTGGGTATAGATTAAGATCTGCTTGGAGATCTGGTAGTAACTTAGTCATGCTGAAAAAAGGGCAGTCCCATGATCTAAAGCCACACAAACCTCAATAATTTGATCTATTACATATATTATTATAATACAATGCTTATCAAGAGGAAGAAGCTAAAGACTTGCTCAAGAAATTTAAAGAACATCTTGCCAAAGCCAAACTAGAAAGAAATCACTATAATAAAAATACCAACCTAGCAGAAGAGCAAAAAAACTAGTTGACCAAAATTATGTACAAGGCAAAACTCAGTATTGCAGCATTGATGCTACTGCTCATTACAGTTATGATTGAGCTCAAAATGTGCATGTACTCAGAAGCAACCAGAGAACAACTTAATTATGTTTTGGATGAAAATGAAATAATTGGCAAATGCCCTAATGGTGTGAACGCGATGGGCTAACACTGAGGGTTCATGCTCGGCATCGCTTCATTATGGGCAATGTGTAGTTAACGATTATACAAATTACTCTCATATAGCCAAGCAATTATAACGTGCCACGAAAACTACATGTCTAGACGAATATTCCCGCACCGTATTCCTACTAAGATTCTGGGAAGCATAACCCAACG